TCCTCCTCTCCTCCAAATCAGGCTCCGATGGAGCCATGACAGTCTCCTGCTTTCACTGCTAACAATAGCAAAAGCACTAGCACTTGGACTTATATACCGCTTCATAGTGCCCTCTCTACGTGGTTTACAGAATCAGCATCTTGCCCCCAACAATTTGGGTCTTCATTTTACCGACCTCGGAAGGCTGAGTCAAGCTTGAGCCGGTCAGAATTGAACTCTTGGCAGTGAGCAGAGTTAGCCTGCAATACTGTATTAACTATTGGGAAATCAATGCTGGAGGTTGACAAGAGTTTTCCAAAGGCTGGGTGCTGGAGCCACAAAGTAGCATCCTATAGCTAGTGAATCTCACATCAACGCTCGAGAAATATAAATTCTGCATTTAGACAGGAGGCCTGGAATGGCTAGAGATTTGTGACCTTCCTAGTCAGCTTCTGATGAGCAAAGTCCATGGGGAAAGCCTGATTCACTTAATGACCGTGTGATTCACTTAACTGCAGTGATTTGCTTAGCAACTCTAGCAAAATCAGTTAAAATTAAACCAGTTAAATCCAGCACACAACTCACTTAACAACTGCCTTGGTTAGCAATGGAGATTCTGGTCCCAACTCTAGTCGTACATAACTGTATATAGGATGATTCTTTTCATTTCATTTTTACGGAAGTCCTCAATGTATGACCACAATTGAGCCCAAAATGTCTGTTGCTAAGTGAGACCGCTGTTAACTGAATTTTGCCCCATTTGATGACATTTTTTTGCCACGGTTGTTAAGTGAATAACTGCAGTTGTTATATTAGTAATATGGTTATGGTCGTAAGTGTAGGAAGACAGTCATAAGTTACTTTTTTCAGTGCTGTTATAACTTCAAACGGTCACTAAACGAAGCGTTGTAAATAGAGGACGATCTCTGCTTCTCAAGGAAGTTCACACCAGAGCTCCATTTTCTGTTCATATTCTCCTGTAAGGGAAGATAGATACTTGGACCAAGGCTTCATAGCCTTGATTTGAAACTGGCTGTCCACTGTCCCAACCTAACTAAGCCTTCTCCAAACTGCTCACTTCTAAAATATACTGAGAATACAAGTCTACCAAGCTGGTTGGGACTTCTGAAAATTGTAGCCCTAATTGCAGCCCTTGACAACATCAGTTTCATGAAGAAAAAAGTCTAATAAGTGCTTTGTGTGCTGTAAATATTTTGTAGCTTATGCAACACATGTATTGCTCTTTACATACTACTTCCTAAGCAAGCTATACATCTTAATAAATTATTGCATGCCAGTTTTCAACACCATTATGCTAGCAGTCCAACCAGAACATATTGCTTTAGACCAGTGTTTCTCAACCTTGACAATTTTAAGGCATGTGGACTTCAACTCCCAGAATTCCACAGCCAGCATTGCTGGCTGTGGAATTCTGGGAGTTGAAGTCCACATGCCTTAAAATTGTCAAGGTTGAGAAACACTGCTTTAGACTGACTCTGCAGCTGGACGTGTTCCAAAAGTGTTTACTATACTGGCACTTCTAATGGCTTATCCTCATCTTTTAGTGTGCATCAATCACTTGCACATTTCTTTTTTTTTTAAACCAACAAAACAAAACAAAACAAAACACACACATACACACACAGTATCCCCCTTTTTTTTAAACAGTGATTTCATAACGGTAATCTTCTATTATTTACATTCCCCCCCCCCCTTATTTTTCTTTAGGATATTTGTCCTTATTACCCCATTGTTTCTTATTTGCATTTTTCTTCCTTCATACATATTATTATTACTATACATTATACACACATTTTCCACTTTTGACCTTTCCACATTTATTCTCCTCTATTATTTCTAGTCTCCCACCAGTCATACCACTTGTTCCATATTAGATAGTACTTTGTCTTCCTTTTCTTTTATCTCTTTTGTTAATTTGTCCATCTCAGCACAGTCCAGGATTTTACTTATCACTTCTTCCTCATTTTTCCAGAACTGTGCATATGCTATTCTTGCTGCCGTAATCACTTACACATTTCACCAGCTGCAGCAACAGCTGCAGAGCATGACTGCAGCATAGCTCCAAAATGGGGAAATGTGAGGGTTGTAGCTGTCCTAAAAATAAACTGCTGCACATCAAGATTCTTGAAATCGGAAGCAGCAATCGGAAGCAAGAAGTTTCACTTCCCACCTAAAACTGGGTTGCTCCAAAATATACCTACATCTCCATCATGCTATCCCCTTCCTGAGTAAGCAACATTATGCAAAGGGCAGAAAGGAACTAAGGGATACTAATCCAAAAAAATTCAGGTAAGAGATAAGAGAAAGATAAGAAAACACAGCTAAATCTAATTTAAACCAAGCCTCCCTAACACTTTTCTATTGCTTGTTTCAACCACCTCCACACATGTGCTTTGTAACACTTTCTTTTATTGATTAAACTTTCTCACTTCTCCTTTGTCCAGTCATGACTTTCTCTGTTTTCCTGTTCCTTTCACTTCCTGGCCACATATTCATCAATTCTATCTGCTGGATCAGGGCCTCATTTAAATCAATTGCAATCTTCCCCTTTCTTTTAATTTACCAGATACTCACTGGACCTATTTTTATTCACCTTATTCATTCATTGATGGTCTTCTTCATAATTCATCTACTCCTCTTACATTCCAAAGCTGTAATCGTTCACTGTCGCCACCAGATTCTCATATGTGCTGAAAATACACACAAGCTTGCCCAAGACTTTTCAGGTTGGAGGCAAGTTAGAAATCCAGGCGCAAAAATCCATGTCGTTGCTGCAACCTGTTTCCAGCATGCTCCTGCTTCTCACAAATGAAGTGCTTTATACAGTACTTTGTGGCTAACCTTCCCAATTATTTTGCTATTGGTGCATATTAAAATATATTAAGACAGCCGCAGGTTGGAAAGCAACATTCCCAGTCCAGCCTTCATAGAATGAACTGAGATTAATGTGGATCAGCCAAAATGGAGTGTGAGCAGCACATCAACATAGCAAAATCCTGCATAAGTGCTATTCAGATTTTTAGCATGGCATAGTCAGATCAGAACTTTGGGATGTGATTATAGCATAGCATAAGGCAGTGGTGGCGAACCTATGGCATGCGTGCCAGAGGAGGCACTCAGAGCCCTCACTATGGGCACGTGCGCTGTCTCCTCAGCCCCGCCTCCCCCCATGGCCCTCTCACCAGCAGCCCCCCCGGAGAGTTGCCCCTGGGTGCAGCCCACACGGAGCAGCACAGCCAAGGACATGGCAGCTGGGCAAAGACCCCAGCTTTGCGCCCCATCAGATGCAGATGATGCTGTGGGGCGTGGGCGGAGGGCGTGGCCATCATGGCACTGCTGGGCCACCTGCACGATCTGCTATAGTGGGCTGTGGGTGGCCCGGGCAGGGGCAGGTGGGGGCAGAGCAGGAGCGGGTGGGGGAGTGGTTTTGGGGCATCGGTCTCTAAAAAGTTCGCCATCACTGGCATAAGGCAATGGATTTTTGCAGCAAGGATATCACAGAATGTAAGGGCTAGAAAGAACCTCAGAGATTATCTATTTCAACCATATGCACAAGTGCAATATCTCTGACATGGCCATTCAGCTATCCTTGAACCCCTCCAACAAAGGAGAGTCCACTACCTCTTTGATTTATTACTGAAGAGTTCTTACCGTTACTGTAGGATTTTTTTCTGCTGTTCAGCCAAAATTACCTCCTTGACATTTCTTGTCCTGCCCTATAGAACAATTTTGTCCTGGTTTTACATAACACCCATTCAGACATTTGTACTCTGTTATCGTATTTCACTGTACTGTAGCATTCTTGTCTCTAGGCAAAAGATACCCAATGCCTCCCACTGTTATCCTTAAATTTTTCTTTTGGATTCTTTATTATTGTGCAGTTCTCTGGACATGCTTTAATTAGTTAATTTCCGTCCCAGGATTCAATGCCCAGAACAGAGTTGGTGATATGATGCAAACCACATCTTATGCACTTCCTCCTGATCTTTAATGCAAAGATTTAAATGGTAGTATTTTTGTGATGTTGAGACACCTCATGATTCTTTACTTATCCCTTTTTGCAGATCTTGGGCCAGTCGCTCTCTTTCAGATCTAGGAAAGAGGCAATGGCAAACTACTTTTTAAAAAAACCTTGCCATGAAAATTGCAGGGATTTGTCCAAGCAATCACCAAGTCAAGACTTGACTCAAAGGCACACACCTACAAAATATGCAAAACCAAAATGAATTTCACTGGGATTTAGTATATTGGCTTAGGCAATACAACATAAAATAAGATATAAAACAATTTGCTTGATTTGGACTTAGGCACTGAGCTTTTTAAGCCATTAATTATGGTTTTGCAAACAGTCATTCTTAGATAATATTCAAAGAGCAAATCTTTTTGTCTTCTAAGTCATTCTAATTTTGCACATGTGCCTATATCAGAGTGAGGAAAACTCCATGAACAGCAAAAAAATAAAAAAAAACTATCAACCTTTCCATCAGAACACTTGCTCTCTAGTCTAGCTCATCCTTGCGTTTGCAGCTTTTGTGATTTTTTGCACTTTAACTGGCTTTTCAAAAAATTATTTCATAGAATCACATCCCAAAAGTGCTTTTTCAAGAGGCAACTGGACTTTTCTTGTCTTCAGAGCTGAAGACAAAGAAAAACAAGAAAATCCAATTGCCTCTTGAAAAAGCACCTTGGGGATAACCGTGACCTGGGTGACTTGAGAATCTCCATAGAAATAACAACAACAACAACAACAACAACAACAACAAAGTTGGAAGGGATTGGAGGTCATCTAGTGCAACCCCCTGCTCAGGCAGGAAACCCTATACCATTTTGGACAAATGGCTGTCCAGTTTCTTCTTAAAAACTTCCAGTGTTGGAGCATTTACCACTTCTGGAGGCAGGTTGTTCCACTGGTTAATTGTTCTAACTGTCAGGAAGTTTCTCCTTAGTTCTAGGGTTGCTTCTCTCTTTGGTTAGTTTCCACCCGTTGCTTCTTGTCCTGCTTTCAGGCGCTTTGGAAAATCATAAAATTATTTTTTTTAAACTATTGGCATAGGAACATAATACCCAAACAGAGCAATAAGCCTCCTGTCGGTTTTCAATGGCCCGACAGACCGTATAACCGTCATCGAAGCATGATAGGATTTATACTCCAAGAAATACATACAGATGAAATAAGGCCATTCAGGTTAATATTTAGACTCCGCCTTCCTTCCATTCTTACGTCACAAATAAAAGGGCGGAGTATGCGCCCAGCATCACGGGAATCGTAGTTTCACCGAGATCAGGTTGTAAGCTAACGGTCCAACGGTCCCATTTTTTCGGCTTCTCAAGGATTCTTTCTCATAAAGCAAAAAAATATGCCTTTTCTTTTATACACAAGGAACTATTACAGCTAACGGAATCGCTCATTAGGTAGGATCCGCCGCACGCATTCTTTATCATCTCGCCCGTCACGCGCTCTCAGGCCTTTCGGCTCGCCTCAGCGCCGGAAGTGACGCACGGTGAAGGGGCGGGCCGGCCGGCGTCCACAACGCGGAAGCGGTGAGGGAGAGCGGAAGGCAAGTTTGAGCAGTTGCGTTGGGTCGCGGCGGAGCCTCCCCTCAGGAGCGGGGCTGAGGCGGCCGCGAAGAGGACTTGGGGCCCGCCAATCCTCCGTCCGTTCTCCCTTGCTCGCTCCGCCCCATCCCGGGGAACCTGCCATGAATGTGGACGTGGAGTTTCACATTCGCCAAAACTACCCCTGGGCCCGTCTCCCCGCCAGCGTTAAGCAGGTACTGACTGACTGACCCCTCTCGGCACCCATACGCAGCAACGCCCCTCCGACTCCCCGCGAAATTGACCCCTCGGGCTGCCCGTAGCCCACTCCAGGCTGAGCCAGAAGTCGAGCCGGGGTCCGCTGCTTGTTCATGCTGGAAGTTTCTCTTCTGCCCCTCCTCCTTCCTAACCGACGTAACGCAGCCTTTTCGGGCTTTTCGCCCCCACGCGGGAGGGCTGCGGTTCCCCTTTCTTCCGAGCAATGGGACCCGTTGGCGGGGAACGGGGCGAGGTGCAGCCCGAGGAGGCTAAGGCAAATGCCGATCAAGCCCAGCACCTGTTAATGACTCTGTTCCAGGGCAGGTACGCACGTGGCCATTTGCGTCCTCCTTGCTGGCTAAGGAATTCTGGGAATTGAAGTCCACAGGTCTTAAAAGGTGCCAGGTTTGATACACATTGCCTGCTTAGGGCCTCATTAATCCGAACGCCACTTCCCTTTTACTTTGAAAAGAAGGCACGATCTTCGACTACCAAGGCATGGGCTCAGGAGCTTCCATTCCTCAAGCTTAGGTGGACATGGACGACTTTCTCTCAATGTCTCCTCAGCTCCAAGGTTACCTGAGGCTCTGCACAGGACCATATTCCGAGTTCACAGAACATTCTAAATTAAAATGTGATTAGCTCACATTTAGATTAAGTAGTCTGCGCAGACAGCGTTATTAATTAAGATCCCTTAAGAATGGGATTAGGTCAGTAAAGTATGGTTAAGCCAATTATGGGTTAGCGAGTTGTGCAGACCTAACTTGAAATTACTAAGTGTTGCGGCTAACTAGAAGTTGTAGGTGCTTCATCACTGGAGGTTTTTAAGAAAATTCTGGACAGACACCTGTCTGAAATGGCATAGACTCTCCTGCTTGAGCAGGAAGTTGGACTAGAAGACCTCCAAGGTCCCCCTTCCAGCTCTATTCTGATTGATTGGAGTGCTGTTGATTCTGTGCCATAAGATCATTTTTTTGCTCCTAGCGACCGCATAGATAAAGTCCCTCCATCATGATAGGTCTCTCACCTGGTCTTTCAGTCACCTGTCATCCTCACCACTGTATATGGGTCCATCCCCTTTATTGCTGGTCATCCTCTTTTCTTCCACCTTTCCCAGCATCACAGATTAAAAGAGATGAGCATTCTTGTGCACAATCTAACACACGTGATGTGGAAGAGTTACGATCAATGCCGTTATAATCTCTTTATGGCAGAATTGTATGCATTTGTTTTGCAAGCTGGTAACTTTATATCATTCATATCAGTGCCTTATTACCATCCTAATTAATTGTTAGTGTTAAATATAATTGTCTTAGTGTTTTTAGTAGTGAAATAGAAACAAATGCAACACCAGCAAAACATGACAATAGAGTGAGAAAAGAACATTAAAGTAATTAAAATAGTGTACCAAAAAAGGAAACTCACAAAAAAGAAAAAGACACATATGGTCTATTTTGTATTGAGGTAAAATTAATTTTAATCTTTAAACTTATTACTAAGATCTGAATTTTGATTTTTAAGAACATAAAGACTTTTAAAAATGAAAAAAACCCTCATATTCTGAATCCATTTCTTATTATCAAGAAGTTTGTTTTCATTTACTTAAGATTATACTCTTTGTCAGCACCAGACTTGGTAGAGCCAAAGTCCTTCATGAAGTGACAAAGTCCATGTTTCAGAATACAGATATAGTTCATCTTTAGTTATTTCATTTCTTTCCCAAAGTATATTCACAAATGCCATGATTTGAAACAAAAATAAAGTTGTATATCAAATGTCATACAATTCCAGCAGAAAATACCTAACGCTCAACACTTTCTAAACTTTCTCTGAGAGTTCCAATAGTTATGAAATTATATTTTATAATGAATTGATTTAATAATAATAATAGTAGTAGTAAAGTTGGAAGGGACCTTGAAGGTCATGTAGTTCAACCCCCTGCGCAGGCAGGAAACCCTATACCATTTCAGACAAATGGCTGTCCAGTCTCTTCTTGAAAACTTCCAATGTTGGAGCATTCACTGCTTCTGGAGGCAGGTTGTTCCACTGGTTAATTGTTCTAACTGTCAGGAAGTTTCTCCTTAGTTCTAGGTTGCTTCTCTCCTTGCTTAGTTTCCACCCGTTGCTTCTTGTCCTGCCTTGGAAAATAGCTTGACTCCCTCTTCTTTGTGGCAGCACCTGAGATATTGGAACACTGCTTTCATGTCCCCCCTCGTCCTTCTCTTCACTAAACTAGACATACCCAATTCCAGCCGCCGTTCCTTATATGTTTTAGCCTCCAGTCCCCTAATCATCTTTGTTGCTCTTTTCTGTACTCTTTCTAGAGTCTCAGCATCTTTTTTGCATTGAGGTGACCAAAACTGGATGCAGTATTCCAAGTGTGGCCTTACCAAGGCATTGTAAAGTGGTATTAACACTTCACGTGATCTTGATTCTATCCCTCTGTTAATGCAGCCTAGCACTGTGTTGGCCTTTTTGGCAGCTGCAGCACACTGCTGGCTCATATTTAGGTGATTGTCCACTAGGATTCCGAGGTCCCTCTCACAGTTACTGCTATTGAGCAAGGTACCCCCTATTTCATTCTTAAATCATATATTTTTGTGTTTTTTAAAATCTGGATCCATTGATTTATCAAGATTGGATATTCCAATTCTTCATTCCATAGTTCCAATATAATGAATAATAAATTTCATTCTGCATTTTTGGCTCCTTATAAAATTAGATTATTGATTTCAGTTTAAATGCTGCACTACAATCGGTATGTTGTTTTTCACTAGCCTCAGATGCAGACTGCCCTCAAGAATACATGGGTAGACAGTGGCAAGATTTAGTAATGACATTTACAAAGAGCATATGAAGTACTTTGTTTCATACTCAAAAGCAGGTCTGCAATATTGATATTTTTCAATGATATGTTTGATATATCATTGATACAGTGTGTTGTATTAAGACATTGGGTGAGATGGCTGGTTATAGAAATTGAATATCTAAATAAAAACTATGTATATTTGAATGCTAGAAACCACTACAGTTTTGAGATTCATGCTGATTCCATTCTCAAAATTGTATCTGTGCTCACAACAAGTTCTGTACCAGATCCTTACAGATTTTACCCTCATGAGACTAATGGGGAGTAATTGTATCCAGCCTCAATAACAATAAACTATCTTTCCAGTAACTGTTTCTGCAGCTGTTTTTCCCCCAAATAACATGCAAATTGATTCTAAGAGTTGATTCTATTTGGAAGAAAATCTCTAATCATTTTTTAGCATTTAGATTTACAACAATCATTTTGCGTAAAAATACATTAAAATACTTTTGTTTTACTACCAGTCAATCATGCATCTTTGTTGAAAATTAAGCCATTAAGATGAGTGGTGCTTTCAAGCTGAAAGAGTGGATGTTAATCTCTGAACATCTGAGTGTTCATCAAATTTTTAGTAGCTTATCCTAATTAATGTGATTTGTTTGCTTCACAGGGTCTTGGAAACTCACAACGAGAATATGAAAAGCAGGTTGTGCTGTACAGTATCCGCAATCAACTTCGGTACCGAAATAACTTAGGTGAATAAAGAAGTACAGATTTGGGAAAGGGAAAATATTTTGTTACTGTGCTATCCATACTGGCCATGCTGGAAAAAAGATCTACAGTAGATTTTTTGTTGCTGAAGTACATTGCCCAATTTAAGAAGGAGGATTAAGAAAATATACCAGTTCCTACAAATTTCTGTAAAACATCATAAACTATGATAGGAGGAGCTGAGGGCAAGATGTTTTTGTTCAAATTTTATAAATGTAGATGGAAATAGCTCCAACATTTGTATTTGTAAACAGTCTCAAATCTAAGCAAAATGGATGAGACACATACTTTAAATAAATACTCTGGAAGTTTTTAAGATAAAAGTGATATTCATTGAATTCCTTGGATTGGTCTTCTTTCTTAATTAATTCTGCATTCCACCAGATGCTAGTATCTGAGTATTAGCAAAAAATTATTTACCAAGACTTTTTGGTTAATTCTATATTGATTATTTATAGGTGAAAGAAAAGTCACATCTCTCTGCCAGTAATCTAAAAACTTCAAACCATTTTGCACCTATGACGGACACATCTTAGATAATTGTGTTCCCCATGTCATTGTATACATCAAAACCCATATAAAAATTCAATTCTGAGCAAAGATGTTGCTGGCTTCCTCTGGGTGTCGAGGATTTTGGTTCTCATCATCCTTGGCCAGCACAAACATAGAAGAATTCTGAGTTATAGTAACTATTGTATGGCACAATAGTTTCATTTTAATGGTTTAAGTATTTAAATTATGGAATTTAATTCCGGTTTTGATCTTAATTCTCTCCACATTATTGTTACGTCTTACACTCTGCATTTTTAGCATTATGGAAAATAATCTTGAATATTGCAATAGACAGAGAGATAGGGTATTAAGAGTCTTTGAGAGAGATGGGCAGTTCATATGGATGAAATATAAATAAATAATTTAATAATAAATTAAGAATATAATTTTTCTCCCACTGGGCCACAGGTTTAAGTATAACAGTCATTCTGTCTTGTTTTGACTTTCTTACTTATGTGGATAGATAGAGCATTGTTCAGATTTGTGTGCAAGTAAGCCATCTTGCATTGACGTCTTTATACCCCCAAAGGGATTACACTATTAACTAAATTAAGAAGACTGCTCTAACATTTCATTTCTTCCCCAGTTAAGCACATTAAGAAAGATGAACGCAAATACTACGAGGATCTATTAAAATATAGCAGAGATCATCTTATGTTGTATCCCTACCATTTGTCCGATATCATGGTGAAGGGCTTGAGGATAACACCTTTTTCATATTACACAGGAATAATGGAGGTAAGCCAAGAGAAGTACTTGAAAAGAAATAGACTGTTTCCTTCTATTGCAAAGTAATGTTTACTGGAAACACATGTCTAGTGTTCGCTTTTATTTAGATTACTGCTACACATTGGGGAACATTATACCCCTTGAGCTGCATAAGTACAGGTAGTCCTCAGCATACGATCATAATGGAGCCTATCCATTATGGCCATACATCATGACAGTCATCGCTGGCTGGGGAATTCTGGGAGTTGAAGTCCACAAGTCATAAAAGGGCCAAGTTTGAAGACCCCTGGTTTAATATAAGACTTAGGATTTGCAGTACGTACTGATGCAGCATCAGTATACAGCTATGAAGCTTAAAAAGTACAGTCATTGAAACTGACCTTGCATTTTTTTTTTCTTTCCATAAAGGACATAATGAACAGTGAAAAAAGTTATGATTCATTGCCTAATTTTACCGCTGCAGACTGTAAGTATAAATTTACATTATGTTTACATGGGTTAAATAAATGCCTTTTTTTTTTTCAAAAGAATTTGCTGGTTTCCAAAGCCCAGCTGCCTGATAGTTCCTTCTTTTTTTTTTTTTTTTTTTTTTGAAATTGTAACACTTGTTTAAGAGAGTAAATCTGTCATCTGAAAACAGAACAAAAGAGATAGTGATAAGAGAATAACATCGAGAAAGTTAACAAAATAAATGTTCTGCATATCACAGAACTGCTAAACAGTTGTTTATTTTCTCAGCTGTAAGCCATAATAATTATATTTAGATTATTTAGGTTGTTCTAGTGTAGTCATTTTGCAGTCCATAACATAGCTCTTAACAGAGTTAACTGTTAACAGAGCATTAAAGCAATTACTCTGAGTAATGTTTCTGTCTTTGTTTAGTTTTCTGATTATTTAATATTCTATTTAGATTGCTATAACTTGTAATAAATGTTTTTACAGATATACCCATTCTCCTTTCCAATGCACAAATATGGAACTTGGACTAAAAGCTCAGAATTCCAGGACAAGCTTTTAAAATAGTGCTTATCTTGGATAAAAGCTGCTACATATATATCTTGTTTGAAATCTTTCAGTTGTAGGATAATTAAGAAGGCCTTCTTTGTTCCAACTCAGTAGTGACTGCTTTCAAACATAGATGTCTTTCAGATAAAGTTCTTATATAACTTTTGAATCAAGGAGGAACTTAACTGATGTTTAGATTACATGCTAAAAATGCATGATAATTCCAGACAAAATGCTCGTTTTCAGCCAACCAGAATATAATGACTATCTTCAACTGAATGTTATTCAATGACAAATGAAACTGTTCAGATAAATTTACTATTTTTGCCCATTTAAGGGTACCTTTTTTGTTACTGAGCAAAAAAAATGGCAGCAATGCTGCATATTAGTAATATTTTCTCTCAAAATAAGTTTCCAAATATAATTCTGTTTTTAAGTGATTTCTCTTTTTTTTCCCCAGGCTTAAGGCTTCTTGGCATAGGAAGAAACCAGTATATTGATCTGATGAACCAATGTAGGTCATCAAAAGTATGTATTCTGTTTTCTCCATTTGACCTACTATTGACCTCTTGTTTAGAGGTTGATATTAAAACAAGTATGTTCATACTTTTGAGCGCCCATACTGTGCCTAGCCGGCTTTTTTTGCAACCTAAAAAAAAAGCTTGCAGATTTCCAGTTCTTTGACTTGGTGAGTTATGAGGCTCTGCCATCAAGGACAGTTTGTTTTGGCAGGTTACAGTTGGCAGTTTATGAAATATTGGCTTGCCACTGTTTGCATCCGGTCATCTGTAGCCTTTGCCAAGTTACAAGGGTCATTTTTTTTTTGGTCTTACTTTTCCTCAGTTTCTGGAGGGAAAGTAAATATGGCAGTAAATATCCTGCCATCCTTTTGCACAGTACTGATATATAGTTATTGATTAAAAAGTATACCCTGCCCTTCAACAGAATACGCTGAAAATAAAAAGAACGCTATAGCACTGGTCATACAATATTATAAATGTATGACTGAATCACATTCCCAGAAATGAAAGCGCTCCAACAGGAAGGCGAATTCAATTCGGCTGAAAATCTTTAAAATTATGGGAAATCAAAACGATCTCCACCTTCCGAGACAGCTTGGAAAATGAAATGAATGCCTTGCTTTAGAGAGATTTCTGAAGCCATCAAAAGAAAAAGGAAAAAACCCTCCCAGTTATTGCTTGCTCAGTTTCCCTGGAAAGGGCTTCTGATAAGTCTCAGCATGTGGAAAGCTTTCTTTCTTTCACTTACGGCTTTGAATGTAAACCTCTGCATTTTTCAGCTATGGGCAGTCTTTGAGTTATGACCACAACTGAGCCCAAAATTTCTGTTGGCAACTGAGATGGTTGTTAAGTGAGTTTTGCCCCAGTTTACAACCTCTCTTGCCACAGTGAAATGAATCACTGCAACTGTTAAGTTAGGAACGCGGTTGTTAAGTGAACTGGGCTTCCCCATTGACTTTGCTTGTTGGAAGGTCACAAAAAAAGATCACATAACCCCGGGACACTGCAACTGTCATAAATATGAGTCAGTTGCCAAGCGTCTGAATTTTGATCACTTGACCATGAAGAGGCTACAACACTTGTAAGTGTGAAAAACCGTCATGGGTCACTTTCTTCAGTGACGTCGTAACTTCAAACGGTCATTAAATGAACAGTTCTAACTTGAGGATTACTTGTACATCCTAAAATGAATTGGCAGCTAATAAAATTATTTCAATGTTGGCTAAGAAGAGCTCTCTAACGATGATGATAGCAAGTCCCATGTATGATACAGTAGAGCAGTGGTTCTCAACCTGTGGGTCGGGACCCCATTTGGGGTCGAACGACCATTTCACGGGGGTCGCCAAACAACACAGTCCACCATTTCCCCCCCCTTTTCTTTAGCTGTGTTACTCCCTTTTATTCTATTGGCTTTTGAAAGCCAATAGAATAGACTCTCTTGAACAGAGTCTAATTCTATTGGCTTTTAAAAGCCAATAGGAATTGTCCAGGCTCTCTCTGCCCTGCTGAGCCCGTCAAAAGTCCCATTCTGCAAACGGTGCTGCACCAGTTGAGTAGTCCTCAACTTACGACCGGTTGAGTAGTCCTCGACTTACGACCGGTTGGGGGTCGCGGCATTAAAAAGGTTGAGAACCACTGCAGTAGAGTAAGGAGAAAAGGGCATTTAACGTGACCAACAAAGACAGGGTCCTCCAGCATGGATCAGCTTCAAGGGTTGAAGGGATTATAAAGGTTTGTATTATCATCATTAATAATTAAAGCAGTGTTTAATAAATTATTTTCAGAGAATGTCTGGGAGCCGATGACCAATCTAAAACTTCACAAAGGGGTCAGTGAATTTGGGGGTATCCCAATGCAAGGCTTACTTTGCAGGTTCTGTAGACCTATGATTGGTAAATGGCCTCTCCCTATGTATTATCATTGTCTTTGGCTTATGAAAAAGGTAAACACTTTTTCTCAGACGGATGCATCAGTTTCAGTTAAAAAGAACTTAAGATTTATGTGGGTGAAACTGAAATACGAACCAGAACCTACTACAGTTGCTCACTTTCAGTCTACACCAGAGGTCTCCAAACTTTGCAACTTTAAGACTTGTGGACTTCAATACCCAGAATTCCCCAGTCAGAAACAAGGCTGAATGATAAGGACAATCTTATCAGGGAAGGGATAGTATGCTTAACGATTTGAGTGTTCTGCATTTGAAAACATAATTTCTTCTTAAATCATTTCAGAAATTTTTTAGAAGGAAAACTGCCCGTGACCTGCTACCCATGAAACCAGTAGAAATTGCCATTGAAGCTTGGTGGGTGGTACAAGCCGGTTATATCACAGAGGATGATATTAAGGTATAAATAAAATATTTTTTGCAGTTCAGTTAGATTTAGGCTTTGCAGGTGGACTGCTAAAGGGTTTATCTCCACTTCCGGGCCATGAATGTAAAAACATGGGCTGTTACGATCAGCAACTTTTCTTTTGGTGAATTATATGTGATAAAGTTGCTTGAAAATTACAGCAGTAATAAGCTGTGGCTTGTGTTTAATTTCATAAACTAATTGTGTAGTGTTTGAAAAAGAATCTTTTATCTATCTATACCTTCCTACAAAGTACAATTTCATTAAGTGATCCTGAATTAACATGATAGTTTTTTCTAGTGAAAAATTTATTCTAGCATTCAATCCAACAGTGGGTTCTCAGCATAGGCATAGATTGTGTTCTTCGTTTCCCACTCTGCATCAAATAATTTTAACACCTTATGCATGCATTATTTAATACACACTTTTCTCATTAGATATGCATTCCCTGCGAAAAATCTGCAGTTGATAAAATCATTGATTCAGGTCCTCAGCTTGCTGGAGTCTTAGACTACAATGTTGTTCACAGTGAGTTATGTGGTTTTTTTTTTTCTTCCAAACAAGAGTAATTCTTGCATATTGTTTTTGCTACAGATTTAAGTTAAAAGATTGGAAAACTCCCATGTTAGATAAAATCAATGAGTAGAGAATAATTTGGGCATTTGCCTTTCTCTGTATGAGTTTTCCTTTTTTATCAAGATCACGTGAAGTATTAATACCACTTTACAATGCCTTGGTAAGGCCACACTTGGAATACTGCATCCAGTTTTGGTCGCCACGATGTAAAAAAGATGTTGAGATTCTAGAGCAGTGTTTCTCAACCTTGACAATTTTAAGGCATGTGGACTTCAACTCCCAGAATTCCACAGCCAGCATTGCTGGCTGTGGAATTCTGGGAGTTGAAGTCCACATGCCTTAAAATTGTCAAGGTTGAGAAACACTGCTCTAGAAAGAGTGCAGAGAAGATCAGCAAAGATGATTAGGGGACTGGAGGCTAAAACATATAAAGAACAGTTGCTAGAATTGGGTATGTCTAGTTTAATGAAGAGAAGAACGAGGGGGGATAGGACAGCAATGTTGCAATATCTCAGGGGCTGCCACAAAGAAGAGGGAGTCAAACTATTCTCCAAAGCACCTGAATGCCAACAAGAAGCAATGGATGGAAACTATTCAAGGAGAGAAGCAACCTAGAACTAAGGAGAAATTTCCTGACAGTGAGAACAATTAATCAGTAGAACAACTTGCCTCTAGAAATTGTGGGGTGCTCCAACACTGAAGGTTTTTAAGAACAGATTGGGCAACCAGTTGAGCAGGGGTTGGACTAGAAGACCTCTGAGGTCCCTTCCAACTCTGTTATTCTGTATCTTTATTAGAACAGATGATCCTAATGCTGAATCAGGTATTTGGGATTTCCCCTCAATTTGGAAAATAGTTTTGCTGGGTTATATTTGCGAATAGCCTTAATAATTTAAACTCTTCCAGCTCATGGAATAAGAGTCTCAATCATCTGAATCATGCTGCTGGAATTTACTTGCAAATTTTAATCTGTCTGAAATATTTGAGTACCACACAGAACCAACAAAATTATTTGTATAACACTTGAGAGTTTAGCACAAATATGTGTGACTATTGATAAACAGTGAAACCACAATTTAACAAAATCAGTTCAGTGGATTTTGAATGCAGTTAACCAGATTTCTGTCGAGGCATCCTCCTGAAGGAAATTAAATTTATATTAATTTCACATCATTCCTAGCAATTGGCATAATGATATAATTAACTCCAAATGAGATAATTATGCAAATGAACATAACATAACAAATTGCTGCAAATAACATAACTGACAATTTAACAGGCATTTAGAAATAATGGACATAACCCCTCTCAGGGGTTTTGTAAAACAGCAGGGTTTTATTGCAGATACTTTTTCAGCTAAAATGTTTGTATTTTTCCAAGCTCTTTGTACAGTTATGAAATGTACATTTAATTCTTGTTCAGATATGTTCATGTTTGGATTTTGATGAAGCATGTTTTAAGCAAATATGCATAGGGATAAAGTTGCAGTTATAACTTTCTAGCCATTTTTGCTTTGGAACTTTCATTTGAATATGTTCAAAGGAAATCTCTCATCAAAAAAGCAACGTGTGTGTGTGTGTGTGTGTGTGTGTGTGTGTGTGTGTGTGTACATGTTTCCTAGTCTATTAATTTCAATCTTGAAGAAAGAATCATGTTAAAGAATGATACTTTAGAGCTGTGTTTCTCAACCTTAGCAACTTTAAGATGTTTGGATTTCAAATCAAAGAATTCTTAAAGTTAACTTTAAGATGTCTTAAAAAACAGACATCTTAAAGTTGCCAAGAATGAGGACACTGCTTTAGAGAATGAGTTTTGGGTCTCTCAGATCTGTGCCACAGATGTATCCTTCTTAATAGCATCTCTATGCAATGCTGTGCCATGCATGCAGTAATTTGGATTAATTTTCAAAGGAGCAACTGGATTTAATTTGAATTAGAGAAAAATGTGAACATAACTCTCAGTATCCCATGTACCATTTTCTGAAATCTCACTTTCTTTGTTTCTCAGCACAACAGACTGAAGACACTACATGAGAATCTGTTACGATAATGGGGTTATTTTTTTGTATCCATAGGCTTATATAACAAGGGGTTTATCTACCTTGATGTACCAATATCCGATGACAGTTGCATAGCAGGTGTGTATAACTGTTTTTAAAAGAAACCTGTTCAGTATACTGATACAATTAAACATGTAATAGTTTAACTGACTTAATATCCCAAAGGAGCTTTTTCAAAAGGCGACTGGACTTTCTTTGTTTTTCCTTAAAGACTATTCGCTTCTCATCCAAGAAGCTTTTTCAGTTCTTACTGGAGAACTGAGCTGTCAGAACTGAAGAAGTTTCTTGCATGAGAAGCGACACGTCTTCAAGGAAAAACAAAGGAAGCCCAGTTGCCTTTTAAAAAACTCCTTTGGGACAATTATAACCTGGATGACTGAGAAACTCTATAGACCAGCAGCCTCCATCCTTTCTGGCTTTGCGGACTGGCGGTGGTGGTGGTGGGGGAGAGGGGATGGTTCCGCGCAAGAAGTGGGCGAGTGTGCTCGCGCATGCAGCTCCATTTGTATAAGAGGCAGGCACACACACCTACTCACACAAATGGAGCTGACCGTGCGAGAGTGATCACCTGCTGCTTGTGCAAGTGGGGCTGCGCACACAAGCACGGACCCCCACCACATGTGCAGCTGGGTTCCAAACGGGCCACAGCCCAGGGGTTGGAGACCCACTACTATGGACAATTGACTGAATAGTTTAATGACATAATGATGCTGAATTCCAGATCTCGGTTTCATTGTGTGCCGAAAGACTTACTTTGATATGGCTGTATATTCCATAATTTAGCTTTGTTGACTGATCCTAAGTCATAGACCGAAGAGAAGGAGGAAATAATGCTTGCTCCAACCATATCTTATTTTATTACCCATCACCATATATATCCCTCCGTGGCCTATTTGTAATCTAAAGAAACAAATGTGAGCACATGCTTTTGCTTCATTATCAATTTTAACAGCAGTAATAAAAGACCTATAAAGTCCAAGGCCAATAACTGTACAGCAGGGCTCTTCAAACGTGGCCCTTTTATGACTTGTGGCATGCTGGCTGAGGAATTCTGGGAGTTGAAGTCCACAAGTCATAAAAGGGCCAAATTTGAAGAGCCCTGTTGTACAGGAATCTTACATGAAAATTTTAATGTTGAAGAGCCTACAGTATGTGTGCGTGATGAAGATGTCCCATTTACGCATTTGATACAGGTAGTCCTCAGGTTACAGCCATTCGCTTAATGACCTTTCGTAGTTATAATAGCACTGAAAAAAAGTGAATTATGATAGTTTTTCACACTTAGCCACCATGGCGAACATCCCCATGGTTGCAATGTCTTGGGGGTCACATAATCACCTTTTGCGACCTTCTGACAAACAAAGTCAATAGAGAAGCCAGATTTACTTTACAACCGTGTTAATAGCTTATCAAGTGTAATGATTCACTTCAGCACCACTGTGGCAAGAAAGGTCGTAAAATGGGGCAAAACTCACTGAATAACTGCCTCGCTTAGCAACAGAAATGTTGGGCTTCATTTTGGTTGTAAGTCAAGGACCTCCTGTATTTGGTAAAGTTACAAGTAGAAAAATAAGTGTTAAGTCTGTGACTGTATCTCATTCGCTTATGAAAGTCTCTGTCCTTTCTGAAAGAGAGAAGCAAGAATTCTATTGTATATTCTTACTTTGATAAATGGCACTTCTTTTTATACTTAACAATATCCTTAAAAACATAGCTTTTCTTTTCAGTGCCTCCACTTGAAGGATTTGTGATGAACAGAGTTCAGGGAGATTATTTTGAAACTCTGCTGTACAAGATATTTGTCTCCATAGATGAGCACACAAATGTTGCAGAGGTAAGTCATTATTTAAATACTACTCTGAGGCTATAAATCAGCACCTGACCTGCTCAGAAGCTTTTATTTATATATATATTTTATTTGATTTTTCTTTAATTTGTATTGCATTGTATTTTAATTCCTGTAGCCACCCAGAGTCCCATGGATGAAATGAGCAGTTGTATAAATATAAATTGTAAAAATATAAATAAACAAACAAACAATTGGTTGGTGTAGTTGATTGGCAACTACTATCAGCTCTGCAATCATCCTTCTTTAGTCCTTAGTAGGTGTGATGACCCAGGGCACAGCACAAAGGCAATGCAGACAGCTGGCAATGTAAACAGTTCTTTAATGGTTGCAAATTTCCTCCAAATGCCCCCACATTAGCTGGCAAGCTTCCAACCTAAACACACACACACACACACACACACACGCACACCCCTTCCAGACGACTCTGGCTGAAGGCAGTTTCAATACAGCCTGATTAGTATAAGAATGTCCTCAAGGCCATAAAGATAACAAACCAAACAAAACATCAACTTAATGAATCTCACAGTTTGCAAAGAGAGATGTCAAAATACAGTCTGAGTTCATAATTCAGGAAGGTTTTCCAACAAAGACACAGAACAGGAGCAACAATACACAACTTTCCCAAGATTCAACTTTTTTTTTTTTAATTGACAGTGAAAAATACAAAACTTTGAAAACAAACAATACAGAAAACGAGCCTCTGGAAAAATAACATCTTATGACTCAGTCATCCCCAAAGGGACCTGCTACTAAGTCTAGTCCAGGGATAGGCAACCTTGGCTCTTTTATGACTCGTGGACTTCAACTCCCAGAATTCCTGAGCCAGTCATGCTGAGGAGAAATGGAGAGGTTTCCATACTGAGCCATGCTGGCTCAGGAATTCTGGGAGTTGAAGTCCACGAGTCATAAAAGAGCCAAGGTTGCCTACCCCTGGTCTAGTCCGAGGCCTGGGGAGAGAGCCAGATTTTAAGAGCTTATTTATATAAGGTTCGGGGGGGGGGGGAAATGGATCTCCAGGGAAGGTGTCGTTCCAGGGGGCAGGCAGGTTATGACAGAAGAGGACCACTTCCTGGCTCCCACTCGGAACAAGACCTTGACAGGATCATCTGGTCAGACCCTAATCACGATTTACAGGTAGTGGGGATTCTGTGACAGCTGTAAGTGCAAGGACTGGTTGTAAGTCACTTGTTTCAGTGCCACTGTCACTTTGAATAGTCGCTCGACTACAACACAGAGCTCAGTTTCAACTAGAGGAGCTCATGCAAGGTTATCTACTGAACTGAGCCTGTAAAAGCCATTAAGGTCTCGTGATTGCCAACTGGCTGTCTGCCTTCTCCCCCTCCCCCTGGTTGTACAGTGCCAAACCCCAAAGCCAAGTGAGCATATTCCTGAGAAGGGAGCTTCACCTTCCAGGCTTACCCAGGCCTGGTTTATAAACTCCAGCTTGTCTGCCCCATCTATCGTCAGATCATGGATGAGGACAGGACACACTGACCTAACAGCAGCTGAATCCTAAGACCACCAAGGGGGTAATGACCTTGCTTGGGGATGAATATTGAAGGTTGGAAGAAAGGACAGGTCTCAGCCATTTTGTCTCACCATTCCCATGAGGAGCCATTCCTCAGCCTCCTGCCATCACGATCACCTCCCGTTCAATCTGTTAACAGAGCTGATAATGTAAGGTTGCTGTGCTAAATTGGAAAAATAACCAGAAGAATTTGCTTCTCCCTCCCCCCCCCCCTTTTGTACTAATGGAAAACATTTTCCAATAGAAAGCATTATTAACTCCCGTAATAAATCCTTGAAATGACTGTGAAATGTATTGTAGCGCTGAAAATACTTCAACTTTCTCATCTGAGATCTGCCTTCATATTAACAAATAAAGCTGATTTACGCTGGATCAGATTATCAGTCAAACTTTAGGCCAAGGAGCTTTAGATTCCGAAGTATATATTGTGCTGCTAAACTGTGGCTGTGTTCCAAATGCACAAAAGCTGCTAAGATTGTGAAATAGTATAAGAATGCATTTTCCATAAGGTGATACAGATTTATCATTGTGGAGTGTATTGATATCTGAGTCTGCTAAGCACTTGAAATGTATTTACAATTAGTATTAGAACACTAAGCAGTTGACCAGGCCGATGAGTTCATTGGTTGCTTTTATTTCACCATGATGAAATGTTGTTAAATATTCCAAGAAAACACTGTATAATTCAGTCATTGGCTCTTTTATATGGTAGGCACTAAGTGTGACATTTTTAACGGAGCTAATGTAAATGAACACAATTATCAATAATCCTTACTTATTTTATATATTTTCAGCTAGCAAATGTCCTAGAGATTGATTTGTCGCTTGTGAAGGTAGGCTTCAATTCCATTTTATGGTATAAGAGAAAAGATTAAGTGTTCTGTTGCTCAACTTCTCTATTTCTCTTTCTCAAAATTATTAAACAGAAATACAGCATGCTGATTAAAAGAATTTTTTTTTTTCAGAATGCTGTTTCCATGTATTGCCGGCTAGGGTTTGCCCATAAAAAGGGTCAAGTAATAAACCTGGATAATCTTCATTCATCATGGCGGAACGTTCCCTCAATAAACAGGCTAAAGTAAGTATTAAAGTACAATTTTCTACTGAAAGTACAATTTCCTCAGCTTCCTACCTCAGTTTTACTCTGTATTTATTTCAGCATTTATCCAAATGCTGTCCTGAAGAATCATAGTAGATAATAGTAATATGCGTAGAGCAAAGCTTCTTAACTTGGCAAATTTAAAACATCTGGACTTCAAATCCCAGAATTCTCCAGCCCAGCATGGCAGGAGAATTCTAGGAGGTGAAGTCCAGGTGTCTTAAAGTTGCTAAGGTTGAGAAACACCAGCATAGAGGATTATGTATATGAGATTACATAAATGTGTTGCAAAAAGCTGCTTCAGGAAACCTGGGGATAGAAAAGTAGCTCTCATTTCCAACTTGTAAAATTAGTTATATCTTTCCCCTGGATTGCACAGGATCCCCTGGCTGTGATCCCAGAAAAGGACACAGTTGCCTTAAATTGCAGTCAGGTGAGATACCTTTACATTTTTCCAAAAACTGTTGTACTTTTTGGAATCAATGTATTTTTAAAATATTCTTCTAAAAACTATTGTACTTTTTGGAATCAACGTATTTCTAAAAGGTGGACTGACATTTTGCTTTTCCACCAACAGATCAGTAGATGATGTTCAAGGCAGCCCACAAACTAGCTGATAAAAGTAGTAATGCCATTGAAGTATAATTACGGCATGTGCTAAGCCAGGGCTTTTCCACCAGTGGTACGGGTACCACCCGTGGTACATTGGCACCTTGCAGGTGGTACGCGACCATCCTAGAAAAGTAACGGGGGAGGGGAATGAGCTGAACCGGTGGCAGCACCGCACAAGCCTGAGCGAGAGATGGCTGGAGCTGCAGGGTTGTCAGGGCTCAGCAGAAGCGCCAGGATCAGTGCCGCTTTCCAGCTGATCGACGCTTCTTCGGGACTGTCAGGGCTCAATGGAAGTGCCAAGATCAGCGCCAGTCTCCAGCTGGAGCTCGGCGCTGATAATGGTGCTTCTGCTGAACCCTGAAGAAGCACCACTCAGCTGGAAAGCAACACTGATCTTGGTGCTTCTGCTTAGCCCAGAAGAAGCACTGGGCTCAGCAGAAGCTGGAATGTTGCAGCATCTCCAGGTCTTGTGATTTACATTCAGATGCTTGGCAACTGATTCATATTTATGACAGTCACAGTGTCCCAAGGTCATGTGAAGTGACCAAAACCTGCTGCAACCACCCCACTTCTGCTGCCAATCCTCAACAGAAATGCTCACAACAATGAAAACCTCGGACAGGAGGAAGAGCGCCGCCGGGTGGGCAGGCAGATGCCTTGCTCAGCTGTGGCTTGGGGGGCACTTTTTTCAGTGCCATTTTTCTTTTGTCATCAAGTTTTTGACACCTTGCTAGGCGACTGGTGGTACTCGGATATTGCCATATCCTAAAACTGGTACAATGGGTGAAAAGGTTAAAAAGCCTGTGCTAAGCAACAAATACCCAATATGGCATCTCTCTCTTTCTTTCTCTCCCTCTTTGCCACTTTATCAACTGAAAACCCAGCGAGCCATCCAAGGCCCCCTTGCCTGAATTAAAATATTGGTGCCTGCCTGCAGAAGGAACATAGCAGGGAGCCAATCTTGTCTTTTGTGGCAAATACTTCTATCTGAGTTTTTTTTTTTTTAAATGCTCTCAATTCAAATACAAGTAGTCCTCGACTTACAACCGCTCTTCTAGCTTCCGTTCAAAGTTACAATGACACTGAAAGTGACTTATGACCGTTTTCACACTTAACAACCGTTGCAATACCCCCATCGTCAGGTGATCAGAATTCAGATGCTTGGCAACTGATTCACATTTATGACAGCTGCAGTGTCGCGGTGTCACGTGACCCCCTTTTGCTGCCTTCTGACTAGCAAAGTCAATGGGGAAGCCCATTTCACTTAACAGCCGTGTTACTAAGTTAACAACTGCAGTGATTCACTTACCAACTCTGGCAAGAAAAGACGTAAAATGGGCCAACATTCACTTAAGAACTGCCCCGCTTAGCAACGGAAGTTTTGAGCTCAGTTGTGGTCATAAGTAGAAGACTACCTATATTCTCGTGCTAGTTGTCCAAGACCTAATATCAAGAATCTAATGAAATGTTGGGTAATGTGAAAAATAAGGAACTGCCCCTTTAAAGAAAAACTTGGCTAACACACTGCAATTTTATGGTAAAACATAGCAAGGAAAATATCACAGGCCCTCATGGATTGCATTGCAGCAGCATCAAATTTTGTCCCTTGGGCATATAAAAGGGTTTTCTTTTTTAAGGGGCCTGTGACCTTTGCAAACTCCTAGTAAAGTTCTCTCTGCTGATTAGCAAGTGCAATTTCAATACAGTGCAGGGTCTAATCCTACTCACATCTATGAATAAAAAGCCTTTGAATTCAGTGGAGCCTCATTAAACTTTCTAAACACACAGCTACAAATGTTGCCACTTAATTATCACAAAGAAACGGCACCTTTAAATCTTTCCATTTCCAAATTCATGTTACAATACAGGAGTCAGAGTCACTTCACAAAATAAATCAAGGTTTCTTTTTCACTGATTAAAGCCAATTCCCTGAGAATTCTAATTTAATCTGGGTTCAGTGATGGTAAGCCGGAAGCTTGAGTAGTGAATGTTGGACTGTAAAGCCTAAAAATGTAACTCAAATCTTTGCTTGAGAGCCTATGGACTTCAAGAATGGTATGCTATTTTGAGATGACCGCTCCACCCAGTGTCACAGCCTCAGATATTCAGATCAGTTGCTAGGGCACCGTAGTGGGAGGGATCTGTTGTCCTCAGATCCTGTCTGTAGACTCCTCAGGAGGCAGATGCTTGATTTACAAGACTGCAGATTAGGTAGTCTTTTGATCCGACCCTATGAAACTCTTCCCATGACACGTTTTCCCCTTGTTAGGACAATGTTGGACCCACAGAAGATGCTGTTATCCTGGGACGGTGGGGAAAGCAGGAGTCCTGTACAAGAGGCTGGCTCTTCTGCCACCGATACAGATACCAACAGTCAAGATGATCAAGGTGAGCAGTTAGGTGCTGACTGTTAGTTGCAGTTCGTACCATCCAGTGCCTCTCATGTACCGATTCAGGAGTTGGCAAGGATTTGTTTCAAACGTGCTAGTCTCTGCATGCAGGAAGCATTAAACATGGAAAAACCTAACATGCCCACTTGCAGTGAAGGGGGAGCCACCAATTGAGAGAGGAAAAAATCAGCAATGGATTATATTTTGTGGATGAATCTCCTTGTATTCTTTTAAGGTGAAGACTACATCCTTATCTCAGGCTAGACTACACTACATTTGTAGAACTCTGTAGGAAGGGTGTGTCTTGTCTCATCTCCGGCTGGAAGCCGAAGGAAATTTTTATGTGGTTTCTGTGGGAGTTTGTTAGGTTATTCAAGGCATCCTGCCCAAACAAAATAACACTTAGTGTAGTTTCTCTACTGCGTAATATCGTTAGAATTGCTCACAGATACCAAGATTGTGAAACTCAAGATTTCCTATCAATTAAATTTCTTGCCTTGATATTTTTCGCAGCCTGTTTGTATTTCAGAGCACCTGAGCCAATAGCTGTTAGATATGCTGAGATACTTAAGGCCTTAATTCAGCAGCATGTTTGGTGCTGAAGCATTATTACAGGTCGTCCTCAAGTTATGACCACAGTTGGGACCAGAATTTCCATCACTAAGCAAGAGGGCTGTTAAGTGAGTTGAGGTCTATGACCTTTTTGCCATGGTTGTTAACTGAATCACTGAAGACGTTAAGTGAAACACATGGTTGTTGAGCTGTTATTAAGGCTTTGCTTGTCAGAAGCTGGCTGAGAAGCTCACAGATGAAGCTCACGTGACCCCACCAGGAGGCTTCAAATGTTGCCCATGTGCCTGTATTTTGAACACATGACCATGGGGTTGCTGTAATAGTCTTAAGTATGAGGACCAATCATAAGTCACTTTCCACTGCCTTTGCAACTTCAGACAGTCACTGAGTGAATGGTTGTAAATTGAGTGATATCTGTGATATTTCAGACTTTAATCGCAAGAATAATACAAACCTTACAGTGACATCATAGCACATCAGCTGATTTAGAGCATATCCAAATGGCAGGTGGGTGAGGGCAGAAGAGGGTGGCTCGCTCAGTTTTGCAAGCTGTCGGTCACACTGTTTGACCCCATCCCAACTAGGTGGCGAGTCCATTAGTAGGATAGGCAATTCTGATTAGTAGAATTCCATTTTGACCAGTTTGATTTTGTTTTGCTTCCCAAGGTGACACAGCCAGCGTGAACAGCTTAAGCCTGTCTACCGTACACACGAAGAGGATAGCATTCCTCTTTGATTCAACTCTGACTGCCTTTTTAATGATGGGGAATCTTTCACCGGTAAGTTGGCGTGCTCATCTGAGTGAACTCAACAGACTAAAATGTTCTTGGATTATTTTTATTTTTAAATGGAATCATGGGTAAAAGTCTGTTTTAAAGCCCTGATTTTCACAAAAGACATTCAAGAGGCGTTTTTTATATACGTTCTTTTTCGCAGCGCTTTTTAATCTTGAATTATATCTGAAAATTAGTAGCAATGTATTTTGTCTTGCAGAATTTGAAAAGTCATGCCGTCACCATGTTCGAAGTAGGAAAACTGTCAGATGAGTCACTGGACAGTTTTCTGGTAGAACTTGAAAAGGTAAAAACAACTGACCCCTGTTTTACGCAGCATAATTCTTGTGGCAGTAATCAGAATGTTACAGGACTACGGTCTTGCATTAAAGGCTTTCTAGTTACAGCATATATGCCATTCTTCAAAATCCAAAGCTCATACCATGATCTTTGTTTCTTTCCCTGCTGGACAAAAGCAAAACGTTGGGAAAGTTTCTAAGATTATAGAAAGCTGTTTGAGGTGCTGGATCCAGTTTGCAGGCCTGGAGGAACAACATTGCCCCTCTTCTCCCTCCACCCTATCCCACTCATACACCCCCATTTACTTTCATGATATGGCTCTTTTTATATCAATCATAAATGAAACTCTTGATAATTGAATTGCTAGGAAAAAATACGAAGAAGCTTTGCTCGTTAAATATAGTCCTTGACTTACAATCATTTATTTAATGACTGTTTAAAGCAGTGGTTCTCAACCTGTGGGTCGGGACCCCATTTGGGGTCGAACGACCATTTCACGGGGGTCGCCAAACAACGCAATCCGCCATTTTTTTCCCCTTTTCCTTAGCTGTGCTACTCCCTTTTATTCTATTGGCTTTTGAAAGCCAATAGAATAGACTCTCTTGAATAGAGTCTAATTCTATTGCTTTCAAAAGCCAATAGGAATTGTCCAGGCTGTCTCTGCCCTGCTGAGCCCGCCAAAAGTCCCATTCTGCAAATGGTGCTGCACCAGTTGAGTAGTCCTCGACTTACAACCGGTTGAGTAGTCCTCGACTTATGACCGGTTGGGGGTCGCGGCATTAAAAAGGTTGAGAACCACTGGTTTAAAGTTACAACAGCGCTGAAAAAAGTGACTTATGACCGTTTTTCACGCAACTGTTGCAGCATAAATATATTTATATGCACCTAAAGCTAACCTATAAAAATGGATCTAGCAGCATTAAGTACTGAATTTTGCCTTCCATTTTCATATGGTACAGGTTACCCTAGTACTACCATGTTTCCCTGAAAATAAGACAAGCCTGAGCATGATATTTCAGGACACTCATAATATAAGCCCCACCCCAAAAATAAGCCCCAGTTTAGATTGTCAGCCAGATAGATGTATGCCTATATTCAGCCGTAGTTTCATTCCATGCGGCATTAACCTTGTGAACTCTCAAGCTTCCTCCTTCCGTTATATATTCAAGATGGACAGGATTTAATATTTATTTGTTGTGTATATGTAAGGGTGTGGGTCTATACATGTGTTGTATATAGTATGTTTAGGTGTGTGACATGTATGTGTTTCACTTTGAGAGCAGGCATCTAAATTTCATTTTTGATGTGTGCCGTTGTACCCACAGTAAAAAAAAAATGACAATAAAATCTTATTTTATCTTAGTACCGTATTTCCCCCAAAATAAGACCTAACCAGAAAATAAGACCTAATGTGTCTTTTGGAGCAAAAATTAATATAAGACCTAATTATTATATTACATTACATTACATTACAGAATAAAGATCATGCGAAGTATTAGTACCGCTTTATAAAATCCTAGTAAAACCACACCTGGAATACTGCAGCCAGTTTTGGTCGCCATATCACAAAAAAGATGTTGAGAGTTTGGGAAAAATTCAAAGAGGAGCAACTAAGATGATCAAAGGCCTGGAGACTAAAACATATGAAGAACGGTTGCAGGAGTTGGGTTTGGTTAGTCTAAAGAAAAAAAGAAATAGGGGAGACATAGTATTCCAGTATTTGAGGGAATGCCACAAGGAAGAGGGGGTCACTTTGTTCACCAGAGCACCAGAGGGAAGGACGAGAAACAATGGTTGGAAACTGACCAAAGAGAGAAGCAACCTGGAATTAAGGAGAAACTTCCTGACAGTGAGGACAATTAACCAGTGGAACAGCTTGCCTCCAGAAATCTTGGGTGCTCCAACACTGGAGATTTTTAAGAAGAGACTGGACAATCACTTGTCTCAGATGGTATAGGTTCTCCTGCTTGAGCAGGGGGCTGGACTAGAAGACCTCCAAGGTCCCTACCAGCTCCTTTCTATTTTCGGGGAAACACGGTAGGAATATAATAGCTGTGAATGTAATAGATATTATTTTTTCTTTAACGTGTCAAAGCAGCTGTGACATTCATAATCCCTGAGTTGGGCATGTTGTGTAATACTTTAATTCAATTTGCTGTGGCAACCGCATTTGTGTAGACAGTCCATATTTGTCTTCTCTTATTTAGGTTCAGAGTACAGGAGAGGGTGAAGCTCAAAGATACTTTGATCACGCACTTACCCTGAGAAACACTATCCTGTTTCTGAGACACAATAAGGACCTCGTGACTCAGGTTTCGCAAGTTGAGCAACCCAGTAATGGTACAGTGAAAAACATCTGTTTTAATAGAAAGCTGCTATTTTATATGCTTGGTGCTTCCTTTCTTGTCAGGCAACTCCGTTCCAAATACGTGATATATCATTTGGGAGCAGAAAATTGCTGGTTATGGTTCTTCTCTTCTAAAGATTAATTTTTGTGTGGCATTAAAATTGCAGGAGGAGTGGAATGTATCTAAGGCCAGAAAAGAATTCAAGCACAGTGACGTAGAAACAAAATCAACCAGATACTGTATCTACACTTTCATAAAGTTTAGATTAGGGTTTGTCCAAATATTATCTGAAAGCATTTCTACTGGCAGCAAGATGTTTGTGGAAATATTCTGTGAACTATATTTATTTTTAAGAGTAAATTGCAATCCCCAACTAGGATTTTTCATGGTGCAAAAAAAGAGGCTGAGACCCTGGAAAGAATGCAGAGAAGAGCAACACAGACGATAAGGAGTCTAGAGCAGTGTTTCTCAACCTTGACAATTTTAAGGCATGTGGACTTCAACTCCCAGAATTCCACAGCCAGCATTGCTGGCTGTGGAATTCTGGGAGTTGAAGTCCAAATGCCTTAAAATTGTCAAGGTTGAGAAACACTGGTCTAGAGGCTAAACCAGGAGTTTTCAAACTTAGCAACTTTAAGACTTGTGGACTTCAACTCCCAGAATTCCTCAGCCAGCCACCATTATCCACCTCACACTTGCAATTTTTATCAATGTTGGTGTTCCATATTTTTTGCTGCCAAGTCTAGATTAGGTCTCTCTGTCCTTTTGGGTTAATAAAGTTGCTTACTTGCCCATCTATCCCTTTTGTAGTCTGTACCATTTTAGCTTATTTCTCATTTTTTGTTGGTATGATTATTTGCAAATAAGTCCCTGGACCGTAGTCCTCTTATTTATTTTTTTTAACTTTACTTTTTGGGATGTGTTAGATCCAAAAGGCTTCCTAGAATTAAAGAGAATGTTTGAGGCTGGTTTGAGGCCTTGACTTCTTTCTTTGAAAAAAGTAGAATAATCTTTTAAACAATCAGTATGAACATGAACATTGAGGATGCCAAGACAGTTGTCTACCAAGCACCACATGAGAGCCCAAAGGCTGGATACTTTTTATGTCTGTTTAATTAATTTCTTTTTAGTAAGGATATTGTTTTATTTGCCCTTTTCTTCTTTTATACATAACGTCCTAGATCTAGCTGATCTAATGAAAACTCTAGGAAAGGGTACAGTTAAAAACTGTTTGTAGAAATAAGTTGATGCAACTGCCCACTTCCAGTTAGTGTCATTGGTAAATAAAATTTCTTATATTAATTGAAGAAGGAGAAAAACATAGCAAATTGTTATTTCAGGCTAAAGGATTGCTTAAACAAGGCTTCAGCTGTTGCTGTATCCACAACACTGGGTTAAAAAAACCTTTTTTATGTAGTATCCAGTTGATTACCCAGTGGGTTTTACACAGCTCATTTATGCTTCTCGAGAAACATAATGTGTCTTAGGGATTTAATTTTTGAGTTTTGACTGTCTTATCAGTTTCTTAAATTACAAAGAAGATGATGGGCTCTTTGCTTTAAGAAAACCAAGGAACTTGGTCCACTAAATTCTGATGTTCTGTTTAAAAAGAAGAGACGTGTGGATTTTCTTTAATTATTACTAAAGACACCAACCTACAGACCACATACAAACTTCCTCAAAGTTCCTCAAATTTGCCCTGCCAAAAGTATTTCCTTTATATATTTTTGAACTTAAAAGTAGGACAAAATAGACTTGAACTTTTCCAGACAAAAAAAGGGCATAAATCACTGGCCTTTTCCTTGGTGGTGAGGATGGGTGTTCCTCAAGGACACAGAGAGTATTTTAAAAAATATTATTTTTTCCTTAAAAAGAATATCTGCAGAGAACTGAATCACAGGACAATTATTTAAGAATCCCAAACACTGTGTACCCAAGTTGTTGCCATTTACTGAGCAGCAAGTTATCCATATTTTATTGGAAAAAAATGTACCAGAGCAATACGAAACAATTTATGATACATGAATGGAGCCCATTATTAAAACAGCATATTAGTCTATTCCTATCTGAAAATGAGATTTTCAATAGCAATAATAGTCAACTCCTCAAAATATTGGGAGGTATAAAAATCCCATTTTAATTTCTACTTGTTTCTTGGCAACATTTATTATTCCATGAATGTGTTGTTCAAATGGAAATTCTGTGGTCTTGTTCCCTCTGTGAGGCTATCCCACAATGAGGGTACCTCTCTACTATTAGAGAAAATAAGCCAAACCATACTGTGTTGATAGAAATAACTACTGTTATTACTCCCTTGCAGTTTAGTGCTCAGTCTATGGGTCAGCTTTTTTAAACCATAGCAACTTTTAAGATGTGTGGACTTCAACTCACAGAATTCCATGCTGGGAATTGAAGTCCAAACATCTTAAAGTTGCTAAAGTTAAGATATCCTGTTATAGGAGCTAAAAACTATATGTTGGCATCTTCCTTCATAAACAACTAATTGTTCAAAATGTGTTCGGATTAATATAGGAACTATTATGATATTGTTGTTTTGTGTGTGTGTGTGTGTGTGTGTGTTTGGGTGGGGTGCTGTGTTTTCTTTAGCACAGATGTTTTTGTTAAGTGTTGCTTTTTATACTTAACCCTGCCTCCCCTTTCTTTTTGTAAAGGAAATTGAAAATGTTTTATACAACGAGAAATAATGATAATAAACTTCTCAAGCACTTTTGGGAAAGCAAAAAAGGGCCTAAGAATTTAGACAGGGAGTCCTCGACTTACAACAGTTCATTTGGTGACCGTTCAAAGTTACAACAGCATTGGAAAAAAAGGGACTTACGATCGTTTTTCATCCTTATATCCATTGCAGCATTTCCCCATGATCAAAATTCAGATGCTTGCCAACAGACTCACATTCAGTTTTAGTGTCCCGGGATCATGTGATCACCTTGTGCGACCTTCTGACAAGAAGCTCAATGGGGAAGCCAGATTCACTTAACAATTGTCACTAATTTAACAACTGCAGTGGTTCACTTAATTATAGCAGGAATGGTCGTAAAATGGGGCAAATTTCACTACCTGCAATCTGTTCACCAAGAAATCTCCTTAACCCATTTCAAACCTCCCTAGGGGTGTTCTTTTAAAAAAAACCAAGTACTTAAATCCCGAGGAAGAGAGACCATCTAAATCTATATTTTTCCTTCCCCTTTTCCTCTGCCCCTTTCACTTGTATGTATATATGTTCGTTTGCTCTCTGTATTCCAAGTGTCTTTGGCATTGTTAATGTAGGTTTCCCTCTGGATTTACTACGCTGCGAAAGCTTGCTTGGCTTGGATCCTGCCACCTGCAGTAGAGTTTTGAACAAAAACTACACACTGCTTGTCTCCATGGCACCCCTCACCAATGAAATTCGACCTACCAGCAGCTGCACCCCCCAGGTAAGCAAGATCCTTTAAATCAGCGGTTCTCAACCTGTGGGTCGGGACCCCATTTGGGGTCGAACGACCATTTCACGGGGGTCGCCAAACAACGCAGTCCGCCATTTTTTCCCCCTTTTCCTTAGCTGTGCTACTCCCTTTTATTCTATTGGCTTTTCAAAAGCCAATAGGAATTGTCCAGGCTGTTTCTGCCCTGCTGAGCCCGCCAAAAGTCCCATTCTGCAAACGGTGCTGCAAGTTGTTTGCAGCGAAGGCGAGCTGTCTGGAAGTTTCCACCCCTTCCTGCTGAGCAACTACTAAAAATGTAAGGCCAGGGGTGGGAGGCCAGCGGGCGCAGGGAGGGTTGCTGGCGCGTGTGGGGCCCGGCGGGTGCCTTACCTCCCTTGGGCTAGGCCAGCTGGTGGCCCAACCGGTGGTCGCCCTGCTCCGTCTCTGCCGCTTGCCAGCTACGCCTCGGCCAGCGCAGGAGGCGGCACCACGCATGTGCGGCGCTCCCGGGCAGGGAAAGTTCTCGACTTGCGACAGGTTGGGTAGTCCTCAAGTTACGACCAGTTGGGTAGTCCTCAACTTACGACCGGTTGGGGGTCGCGGCATTAAAAAGGTTGAGAACCACTGCTTTAAATAAATACATAATATAAAAAAATGGCAAGGTCAAGCTACAAATACAGAACAACACAATGCTACCTAAATTTAAAAAGTGTTTTGTTTTTCAACCTGTTCAGAGTTTCATGAAACTTACGTAGTGTTGTGTTTTGTTGTGCTGTACTTGTAGCTTGACCTTGCCATTTTTTTAATTATGTATTTATTTAAAGACCTATCCTGGCTTTTTAAAAAGAATCCCCAACAACTTTCATAGCCATTTATAAAGGTCTGCGATTGTTTCTATTTTTAAAAAACATGCACACTTAAAAAAAAATCTTATTAGGGCTTCCAAGCAGGGAAAAAAAATCACCCAAAAGATACTAAAAGGTCTCTCATAATAAATACATAAGTAGTGTCTAATATTTTTTTTCAAAAAGAGCATAGTTTGTGTTCTTTAATAGATAACAGTTCCAAGAGTCGTCCTGAAAATAAAACAGAATGTAGGACTAATACAATGGAAGATTGGATGTTAAAGGTGATGCAGTTGTCAAGAGATGGTGAAATTGACTGTTTTAATCCCAGAGAAGAATCTTATCTAGTTTCTACTTGGAAACCACTTCTGTTTTTTTGTGGTTTTTTTTTTGCTTTGAATTGGGGAAAAAAATAAAACTTTGATTTTAGGTGTTGATTATTAGAATGGTTTTGTTGTTATAGAAATGGCTTGAAATGTTTAGAAATGTAAAGCATAAGGTTGAGGTTGTAACTTTTTTGTATTCTACTGCACTGAAAAATGTTGGAAGTCACTTCTTTTTGTTTTTTCTCTCTCTACATCTTTCCTTCCTTCCTTCCTCCCTCCCTCCCTCCCTCCCTCCCTCCCTCCCTTCCTTCCCCTTTCTAACTTTTCTTTTTTGTATTTTTATCTTATAATTAACATTTTTTTAAAAAAACTAAAATTTTCTGAGAACTACTGCAAATGCTAATGGGAAGTGACTTTCTTTTTCTTGCTGAGCAGAATTAGCTTCCCTGTGTGCTTTCATTCTGACTTTTTTATTTTTTCACAGCATATTGGGCCAGCTATTCCAGAAGTTAGTTCTGTATGGTTCAAGCTCTATATTTATCACATAACTGGACAGGGGCCTCCATCCCTGTTATTATCTAAAGGCACAAGACTTCGAAAACTTCCAGATATATTTCAGGTAGGTGTTCCACACTTTTCAGGGACCGAGAGTCTTCTGTAATGGCATTATTCTGAAGTTGGGCCTCACCTTCAGAACAGCTCATCGATAATTGCATGTGGAGCGAAACTGTGAAAGTTTGAAACAACTCTGAGCTTGGTTGTTTTCTTGCAGATGTTTCATTCTCCAAACTAGATAAAGTCATCAGTGCAGCCCTGAGCTATAAATATTCTCCTTTATGGTAACTGTGAAAGTGTTTCCAAATCAACCCCTTTTGAGCTGAAAATGGGCTCTTCTTAATTCTTACTTAACTCCCTTACTCCTTACCAAAATGACCTGTTTGGAATTCAAAATATTTGGCACCCCTTTGAGAAGTTATTGATGCTTTAAATCTAGGGGGCTTCTGATTCATGGTAGAAGGCAGATGATTCCAGGGATAAATCAATATAATTAAGCCATTATCATTTGGCAAAATAAGAATCTAGAAAACACTGCATTTAGAGAACTTTGAAATGGGCTGAATCAGACTCTTTAGTGGGTTTATTAGGTAATATACAACATTTTAGATTTATTTGTATTGCTTTTTAATTAATAAAAAGAAAAAGGCAAAACACAAAGCTAATAGTGATAATGACACATTCATTGTCAAAGAGTGGGAAAAAACATAAAAATGTTATATAATAAAATGAAATAATATGTCAAGAAATATAAATTCATAAGTTCCTAAGTGGCAAGTGCAATCAAGTCATCATTGAATGAAGGGGAGACATACATTTATTTTTCCAGTGCTACAGTTTCAGTTTTTTGACCATGGAGAATTCATTTACACTGTCCAGTTGTCAAATTCCATGTATTAGGTATGCAGTTCAAGAAAATATTATCCTCTAAGAATTTTAGCTTCTGTCGCATAGTCAACTACTTTTTCCCAAAACCTGTTAAATAGAGGACATTGTAAAAATACATGTTTTAAAGAAGCATGATCCTTAAAATATCTCCAATAAAGTGCTGTTTTTGACAGTCCTTTTACATCCATATGTAATGGAGTCCAATACATTCTAAATATTATTTTTTTTCTTGCATAAGCCATAAATTGAGATCCAGTGACACATTTGTAACAAAAGCTAAGACACTCTCCTGTTGTCTGGACTATATACCTCTAATTTTTTATATCACTCAATTCTTGACATCTGCATAACAAATTGATTTATTGATAACAAATTAACTACAAAAACAAAGGTGCTTACTATATTATTATATTAAGCCTTTCCACCAAAGACTGTGCCCAGGCCAATTATAAATATGGCATTAACAAATCTATTACTTGAAAAAGTATGCATTAAATAAATACAGATCAAATTTTGCATATTTTCTCTCCCAACAAACAGAAAAGGATTTAAGCCAGATGACCAGACTGAAAAGAGAACCGAGTAAAATTTTAATGGCAAAACTTGCGGAAAAATACAGATACTGAATAACACTATTGTAGATGGAAATATCTTGTTAATTGGCTCTTAATTTGTCTCTTTGCATTTGATTCCCAGGGCTATGACCGCTTATTAATAACATCTTGGGGTCACGATCCAGGAGTAGTCCCCACTTCAAATGTGCTTACTATGCTGAATGATGCTTTAACCCATTCTGCTGTCCTGATTCAGGTACAAAGTTGTATAAAAAATAGACTAAATAAAGTTTTGATTTTAAAAAAAATTGCCAGGGTAGAAGCAGAAAGATGAATAGGCAGAAAATGGCGGGTAGGCTGTTCATTTAAGTGTAGCTTATTAGAATTCCTGGTCAGTGTTTGTTATCATAGGATACAAAGAGTAACCTTCCAGGTGTGTTGGTTTAGATACAAATTATATCAACTCAGCCAATACAATCTCTTCCACAAAATGTAATTTTCAATGGATTAAAAAACCCGCATCACATTGTTTTACATGACATTGACCACCAGGAGGTGCTGCATGAGTGGTTTTTGTCCTAATTGGGAACTCTCAGATGTTGGTAGCTAGATGTTATTGTGTGAAGCTCTACTGGAGTTGAACTCACAAGCCTTCACACTTGGGATGACTAAATATAGCATTAGTTTTAGAACAGGTCTTGGTGCTCAGCAGCTGCAGGAAAGGATATCTAGAAGTGCTGGATCTTAAAAATGGCTATAAACCAGTATACAAACAAATATTTATTTCATTTGTACAGGTAATCCTCAACTTATGGCCATTTATTTAATGATCATTCAAAGTTGGAATGGCATTGAAAAAAGTGGTTTATAACCAGTCCTCATACATGACCATTGCTGCATTCCCACAATTACATGGTCAAAATTTGGGAACTTGGCAACTAGCACATACTTCAGATGGTTGCAGTATCCCACGGTCACGTGATCCCCATTTGTGACTTTCCTAGCCAGCTGCCAACAAGTAAAGTCAGTAGGGGAAAGTCAGATTTCACTTCACAACCTGGGGATTCACTTAATGACCATGGGGATTCACAATAGCAAAAGAGGTTGTAAAATTGGATCCAACTCACTTCACAACCGCCTTGCTTAATGATGGAATTTTCCGTCCCACATAAAAGACCAAACATTCCTATCCTATTTGTCTTTTGTCCTGACAACCACTTTGTAAAATAGTGCTGAGAGAGTATGACAGGCCCAGGCTCCTTGAAAATTTTATGCTCACAGAGAGATTGTGCCTAGATATCCCCAGTCTTAACCCCAACAACTCTTACCAATATTCCAAAATCACAAAACAATTGAGGCAACTTGGAAAACGCAAAACCGAAAGTTGTCAGAAAGATGCGGATTTTGTATCTTACCTCTTCCCTTGGCATTTAGGGACACGGCATATACGGCGTGGGAGAAACTGTCCATATTCCATTTCCACTTGATGAAGCAGAACAGCAAGGTGGTAAGGTGGAATTATTTATTAATAGTTCATATGTCATTAAATCAAGATAAAATTTGTTTCTATCACTTCTTGATTCATGTTTCTAGGAAGCAGTCTTAGACTTCTATAAAAAGAAGTCTAGAGACTTTAGACAGAAGTCTAGAGACTTCTGCAAAGGATTGTATTCTGACAGGAAAACCTGCTCACCATCAGTAATCATTTTTTCATTAAAAGTTTTGATTGCACATTTTCTTTTCCAAAGAAAATACTGTAAGCTGAACAAAATGAAAACAGAAATCCCAAATATGAGCATATCAAATCCCAAACTGGACATTATGTCAACATTTCAATAATTCTCCAAATCTTTTTTTATGTCCTCCTGTTATTGTCCGTGGTTTAATTTAGTAAACTGATTTAATGTACACTTTTTTGTGGGGGGGGGTTATGTCTAGATTTTTCTCGTCTTAACATGGGTGTTCATAAAGCACTGAAGATGTTGAGGGAAAAGATGGATCTCCAGCACTTCTGTGGCTACATCACCATGTTGAACCCTTTCAGTCACCCTGTAAAGAGGAAGCTGAGCGATGCGTCTGACGAAAAAGGTTGGTCCTGGGTTGTCAAATTAGTAGGTTTCGTTTGTTTGTTTTTTAATTTAAATTTGTGTGCATTCTTGCAAGTGTGGAAAGACATCAGAAGGGGGTAGCAAGATTCTTCTGCATTCGTTAAGACGTATGCAGCTAAGAAACATATTCCAGAACCTTACATTCATAGCCTTTAGTTACAGTAAATGCAGTTCATGTGTATATTGTTTTAACCATTCAATCATATCCAATTCTTGATGACTTTACAGGCAAGGGCTCTCCATCCTAACCTGCCAAGCAAAGCTTCTTTCAGTTGTTGGGTGTCCATCTTTGTGTCAGTTTTGATGTTATCAAGCCAGCAGGTTCTTTGCTTGCCCCTTCTTGTTCCACTAACCATTCCTAGCATCATTGACTTCTTCAATGAATTTGCACGCACAACATATCCAAAGTAAATCAGAAATAGTCTTGCAATTTTGGCTTCTAGTGATGTTTCTGATTTTATACGATTCAGCACCTCTGTTGGTTCCTTAGGCTGCCCATAATATATGCCATAATTTACCTCAGCATCACAGTTCAAAGGTGTCCATTCTTCTTCAGTCGTTCTTGATGTCCAACTCTCACATCCATATGTCGTTATAGGGAAGAATGTAGCTCTAACTAGCCTTCTTTTTGTAATTATATCAATCTTTCTGCTTTTCCGGATCTTATCCCTGCTAACCACTGCAGTGCAGTTCAAGGTTATCAGTTATTGATTTCAGGAATAGGAATGCTGTCATGGACAATTTTTCATCCAAGGTAGATTGTGTTTATAATTTAAGTAATATATGCAATAATTTACCTCAGCATCACAGTTCAAAGGCGTCCATTCTTTTTCAGTCGTTCTTGGTGTCCAACTCTCACATCCATATGTCGTTATAGGGAAGAATGTAGCTCTAACTAGCCTGCTTTTTGTATTTATATCAAATCTTTCTGCTTTTCTGGGTCTTATCCCTGTTAACCATTGCAGTGCGGCTCAAGGTTATCCAGCGATTGATTTCAGGAATAGGAATGCCGTCATGGACAATTTTTGATCCAAGGTAGATTATGTTTATAATTTAAGTATTTATTTTCCTCTTCAGGTGAGCCAGAGCTTGCCCTGGACTCAGATGTAAACGGAAGTACAGAGTCCTTTGAAATGGTCATTGAAGAGCCTTATGTAGATCCCGCTGCTAAACAAAGCCCAGAAGGTAATCTCTATCAAAATGGAGCAGATTTTATTATTAGGAGATGGAAGACCTAAAATGGCGTCACACAATAGTCCATGCTGTCCTCTGCAGTCTCTGGGTAACCTGTAATGAGAAGCAGGAATTCCGCTCGTTGATTGGTTGGGCTTTGTGGCAGAACAAGCGACAGGAGAAGGAAGGGCCACATTGTACAGGTAGTCCTCGACTTACAACAGTTCTTTCAGTGACCACTCAAAATTAAACTGAAAAAAGTGACTTAGGACCATTTTTCACAGTTACGACTGTTGCAACACCCCCATGGTCATGTGATCAAAATTCAGACACTGGGCAACTGTCTCACATTTATGACGGTTGCTGTGTTCTGGGATCTTGTGTGATCACCTTTTGAGACCTCCTGACAAGCCAAATCAGTGGGGAAGCCAGATTCACTTAACAACTGTGCTACTAACTTAGCAACTGCAGTGACTCACTTCACGACTCTGGCAAAATGGGGCAAAATTCATTTAGCAAATGTCTCACTTAGCAACTTGGGCTCAATTGTGGTCGCAAGTTGAGGACTACCTCTATAGCAAAAAAAAGCACAGAGGATAAATTATTTTTATTTTTATCCTCTGCGATAAACTTTCTGAATACAGAGAATGGTATTGTAAATCGGCTTTGAGGGGTGTTTCCTATATGCTGTTTTGGGGATATAATCAGAAAATGCAGCTGCAGTCCTTTTCAGATTTGCTCAGCTGCACTAATGGTGGTGCTGATGGTTATTGATGAACATCCCTGAAGAAAAAGAGACAACTCTCTTGATTGCTGTTTTTCCACTGTGTGTTCATTTGAGTGGAGTTTATTGCTTGGCATAAGCAGTTCAACCTCTTGTAGATACAAGAGGAAATGATCATTATTGCATACTATAGTGCAGTAGTCACCCATTACTAGCAATGTAATTTGAAGGGATCTAAATTCACAAGTGTTTAAAAAGTAATACACGTTGGCAACTGAAGTCCCTTCCACTTCGTCCTTTCTTAGGTATCTTTTTAGTTCCTACCACAGAACTGGAGTGGGTTCCCCTGGAACTGAGCTTCGGAATCCCACTGTTCAGCTCAGACCTCAACCGAAAAGTCTGTCGGAAGATTGCCAGCCATGGATTATGCAGCAGAGAGAGGTGAGGCTTTGATGGAGTATACCAAAGAAAAATAAAGGAAATTAGTGTTTGGTTATCAGATCCTGTACATGACTTGTCACTTTCTCTGTTGTCTTTTGGCAGCCTTCAAAAACTGTTACATTCCAGCAGAAAACTTTCCCTGCAGGTCCTTAGTTTTGTTCATTCATTCCAGGTAAACGTACTAATAACCTATTCATTTATTTATAAGCTGATCAACTCCCAGCCACTCTGGGCTGTTTACAAATTTCTGTTCAGGATTTGCATCTGGGCAAGAGTCTTTGTCAGGAGCTGAAACGGGAGCATGTATCTCATGGTCTTTTGTACTTCTGGGTGGGCTTCAGTACCATTGATCAGGGGATCCCTGTGGGAACAGCTAAAGAAGCTGGGCAGCTAGCATAGTTGCCTTTGCGTTTAGACACGCTGACCACATGACCACAGAAATTGTCTTTGGACAAACGCTGGCTCCCTCGGCCAAGAAACGGAGATGAGCAGATGGACAGAACTGACAAGGAAACCTTTACAAGTGCATTGGGCAAACATCCGAAATACTGGCATATGCAGAAGTGGGTGGATGTGATCTCCAAGAATCTGTGGACTGAATGAAGAATTAAACATGTAGTAATAATAACAACAACAACAACGGCATTGACAAATTCGCCATTAGTCAATTGCAAAAGGCGGCCTTACTAGGAACTGCTTCCATCCTGCGACGATATCTGTAGTAACATCAAACATCCATATCTGCCGATCCCAGGTCCTTGGGAAGGACTCAATAGGTAGACAAAAATGCCAAATCCAGTCTTAACATCTGGCTGACTGTGCAATGATTATTAATAATAATAATAATAACAATAATAATAAAGTTGGAAGGGATCTTGGAGGTCATCTAGTCCAACCCCCTGCTCAGGCAGGAAACCCTATACCATTTCAGACAAATGGCTGTCCAGTCTCTTCTTAAAAACTTCCAGTGTTGGAGCATTCACCACTTCTGGAGGCAGGTTGTTCCACTGGTTAATTGTTCTAACTGTCAGGAATTTTCTCCTTAGTTCTAGGTTGCTTCTCTTCTTGATTAGTTTCCATCCATTGTTTCTTGTCCTGCCTTCAGGCGCTTTGGAGAATAGCTTGACTCCCTCTTCTTTGTGGCAGCCCCTGAGACATTGGAACACTGCTATCATGTCCCCCCCTCATCCTCCTCTTCATTAAACTCTTCATTGATAGTTTGACTTCAGATGAAAGCAGTTTGTGGTTTTGCCCCTCTTTGTTTTTAGAAATCCGTCCCCTCCCTCCCCTTCTACCAAAGTTGCATAATCATGTAATTGAGCCAACTGTTGAATCCTTGGACAGCAAAGGAATCCCAGTACAGATGCCAGATATAGGCCCTACGGTACCCTACAAGGCAACCTTGGCTCTTGGGAATTCAGCAAAAGAATAGAAGAGGGGCTTGAGAAAGACCTTAATTCACTGTGATGAATCCTTTCATTATCAAAATAGAGAAATAGTTAATAAATCTATGTATAATAATAATTAATAATAATAATAATAAGTTGGAAGGGACCTTGGAGGTCCTCTAGCCCAACCCCCTGCTCAGGCAGGAAACCCTATACCATTTCGGACAAATTTCACCGCTTCTGGAGGCAGGTTGTTCCACTGGTTAATTGTTCTAACTGTCAGGAAGTTTCTCCTTAATTCTGACCACAATTCAGCCCAAAATTTCTGCTGCTAAGTGAGACAGTTCTTAAAGTGAGTTTTGCCCCATTTCACAATCTTTCTTGCCGCCGTTGTTACGTGAAATCACTGCAGTTGTGAAGTTAGTAACAGTAGTTGTTAAGTGAATCTGGCTTCCCCATTGACTTGGCTCGTCAGGTCACAGAAGATGATCACGTGACCCCGGGACTTTGCAACTGTCCTAGATATGAACCAATTACCAAACACCCAAATTTTGACCCCATGACCATGGGGGGAATGTTGCAACGGTCATAAGTGGGAAAAACTGTCATAAGTCACTTTTTTCAGTGCTGTTGTAACTTTGAACGGTCATTAAACCAATGGTTGTATGTTGAGGACTACCTGTGGTCAGACTGGAATCCTATTTGAACCCTGTGCCCTTCTTCTCATTTAGGAAAACATTTCAACCATGGAGTTGCTTTCAGAGGCCAGTTTTTCTTCTTCTGCGTCGAGTTTACTTTCTCATCCAACTTCTGCTGACGCTGGGGTTCCGCTGCCCGCCAAGAATCTCATGTTTAAGGATGGCGTGTTATCGGAATGGAGTGGACGGTCTCCTTCCTCGGTCCTAATTGCAGCCGTGCCCCCAGAACACCTAAAATAGCATGGCGTTCACAACTTGCCTTTGGACTCGTGGTAACCAACTGCATTCAACTCACAGTGCCAATCTTCTGAAACTTGTGATGCTATCACAGTACGTTCCCCTGCAGTGAAGATGTTAATAAAGTGTGTAATGTTACATTTCAGTGGGGAAGAGTTAGGAGGAAGAGGCATTTAGTCTCCCCATTTCTTGCATGTTCTGCCATAAAAAAAAAAAAAAAAAAAGCTTTTGTTAGTTGTTGGCCTGTCTCTTAACTCAAGACAATCAATCTTTTTCTTTTTTTAACAGACAGTCCCCTTCGTAAGCTTCTTGATCACTGAATTTCTATGCTGTCGCAAGGGATAATAGCAGTTTTATATATAAGCAATGCTGACCTTAAATTTGCCTGGTTCTTTTGTATTACAATAATACGGAACAGTTGAAACAGTTTTTGATGTTAGAAAGGCACAAATTACACCCAAATAATGCTCCATAGCTGTCCGTGATTCCGGCAACACTCTTGAGGACTAGCAGTACAAGGGACTATTGCCAACCTAGTCTATTAACTACCTGATAAAAACGAGGGTGGGAAGATTTCGGCTTCAAAAGATTGATGCTATTTTGTACTGGGTTTTAATCTTAAATTTTGTAAACATCTGCAGATGCCTCATGGGAAAACATTTAAGAGATTTAATTAATGTCTCCTTTCTAACGAAAAATCTTCTCCCACCGGCACATCATTGTAGAGTTAGCTATACAAAAGTTTTTACACGTAATGGATTTCAACCCATAGTCCTCCCTTTGTGTGAATTCATCATCCTGTGTAGAATTTTGTCTTTGGGAAGCAGCAACAAGGATCCCAAAAGCTGGACTTGGAAATTTTGAGTCTGTTCCCTTGGGTTTTTGAGCGCACTCCCATCGGGCAGCTTGGAAAATCGCTAGGTGAAAAGGTCTTTCTTGAAAAATATCGTGTACACGACAGCTCCTTTGACTGTGGATGGGGTCCAGAAAACGTTTGCAGATGTGATAACGATTTTCCATGTTGTCGAAGGCTACGTAGGAAGAGTTTTCAGTGAATTCTGTTCAGGGGTAACCGAGACCCTCAAGCAAATGGCCAAACTCGAGAAAAAATTTACCTACCGTGTAGGAATAGGCAGATAACTGGGGATACTAGAACTATAATAGCAAGGTGTTTAAAAGGAAGGCAAGTGTGATACAGAATTGGGAATCTTTGAGGATAACCCTCTGGAGAATTTCCTAATGATCCTGAACAAACTGCCCATAGGTTGCCTTTCTATACGGTTTTCACTTGTTTCAGGGGAATTAGATGCAGGGGGACGTTTTATCGTATGGCCCCAGCAGTTGAAGTGGTTTGTTCATAATTTAAAAAGTTAATGGAAATGATTCGTGCTGGAGTCTTTCTAGAGTTTATCAGTGTTCCCTTCCTAGAAGGGCAAGAGAAACGTGCACAGTGTTGTTTAATACTTAAGGGTAGTTTCGTAGGGTAGATAACACATTCTGCAGTGCAGTTCTGCTAATTTCAGGATCTTCTCAGCGGTTGCAGAGTCTAAAAATGCAGCTGTAAAGAAGTTAGGAATTGGAATTGTTTCCTAAAATCATTGTGACCTAAAGTGGATGATCCAGGACTTGCAGGAAACATGGCTAGTTTCTTTCACTGGTTCTTTTTCTTTCTTTCTTTCTTTCTTTCTTTCTTTCTTTCTTTCTTTCTTTCTTTCTTTCTTTCTTTCTTTCTTTCTTTTTAATGCAAATCAGCAGGTTTGAATGGTGGGGATGTTTGTGGGACCAAGAATTTACAGAGCACATTTGACATTCCAGGAGGATATAGCAGGAATTTTTTTTGTTTGTTTTTGTTTTTTTAAAAAAGGATTTGCTGTCCATTAAAACTTAGGTTGTTGATATTGTTTCATTCCCCCCCCCCCATCTCTCTCTCTCTCTCTCTCTCTCTCTCTCTCTCTCTCTCTCTCTCTCACACACACACACACACACACACACACACACACACACACACACACCAGTAATCCCCTTCTATTTCTATTCACCAGTTCTGGTTCTATTCTTCTGAAGAACAGGGGTAGACAAATTTGTATAAAGAGCTCTGTTTTATCAATTTTTTCTCCTTTCTCAGCATCTTTTACCCTCCTTTCTCTCTTTATATTCGCATAGGGCTTTAATATTTATACTTAACACACAGCTTCACCTAAAAATGTAATTTATCACCTACCATGCCAGCACTTCACATACCACAGCTGTTACTAAAGAGCCTTCAAACCAACAAGGAAAAAATAGGAAGAGGATAAATATGAAGATTGATTGCAGTTCAAAAGCCAGTTATTGTCCAGTTATATTGGGAAGCCAAATTGTTTTGGAAGGGGCACCATTAGGAAGCAGGCTCATTTCTGGGCATAAATAGCAGCTTATTATATCGAAATCTTCAGGCCGAAGACCCTCTCATGGAAATAACTAGATATCAGCAAGTACTAAATGTTTATCAAGCTACTCTTTTAAATATTGGATAAGTTGGCAGCTAGCATAGTTTGTCCAAAATAATTTGGTCTGCTCGAATAATTGACTTGGGTATTGCAATTACACAAGGCAAAAATATAAGGAATAAGGGGTATCTGTTGTAATTATTTTGCATGAGAATTATTCTAAGAGGAGCAATTCTCTCTCTCTCTCTCTCTCTCTCTCTCTCTCTCTCACACACACACACACACACACACACACACACACACACGTCCCCCAGCTACTATGATACTCGGGGCAATTTTTCGTGTGACAAAAGAGCCAAGATTGGGGTTCCTTTCAGATTCGATTACAACCGTCTTTTGTGACTTGCCTGCTCTCAACTGCCCTCCTTCAAGGCTCCTGTGAACCCTCTTTGCCACTCTAAAAAAATGCTGCTTTCAGTTTCAATCTACAGTTACAATGTGTGAAAGTGAGGGGGTCTTCATTGCTGTCTGAGCTTGCTTGTTTTTTTACAGACATTTCATTACTCAAACTAGGTAACTGATGCTGTTACCCAGTTTAGATAATGAAACGTCTGCAAGAAAACAAGCAAACTCAGAGAGCACCAAAGACCCTTCACTTCAACCCTGAACTTACAGATGCTCTCCTTTAATGTGTAGAAGATTCAGTTGCCCCCAACCCAACCACTCCCCACACTATAACAAAATTCAGGCACTTTCCCACGCCCCATATATGTTTGTATATTGACATACTAGTGGATTTCCCACATATTTGAATTTTCAAGGGTGGGCCAGGAATGGCGGCCATGTTGTCGTCCTGTTTTCCTTAAATGCAGAATGGACATCTGTACCTAGAAATTCACCAGAAAAGATTCAAATTTCAGAGCTATCCAAGAGATGGGCTGAGATTCCCATATCACCTTGATTCAGGCTTTTTATTTGATTCCCGGATGTCAGATAATGCATTTCCTTTTTTTTTTTTTTTTTTTAGTCCTAAAACTAACCTTAAAGCTTCCATAAAACTACTGGTAGGCCAGCTACCTTTTTGGATGCAGTTACGCAAGGCCTGACAAGCCAGAAAGGTAACACTTAAACTAGATATGAAGGAGATACTGAATGGTGAATAATGGCTATATTGCAAGGGGTCCTGGGTGGGTGATTCTGTAACAGAAAACAGAGATACAAAGCAGAGCCTTAATTTGTCGTTTCGGGGTTTTTTTATGTGTGCATATGCTATATTTTAGGGTTTTTTGAATGATGATTTAAATATACTGTGAACAAAAGCAAAATTTTAACATCTGTGGGATCCATTAATTTTTTTTATTGGTTCGGGGTTTTGTTTTTGTTTTTTTCTTTTTTTCAGCAGCTTTTACTTGTCCAGAATCAAGTTAGTAGTATTTTAGGCCATAACATTTCATGGTTTGTCTTTGTGCTTCATTATTAAGATGTAATCTGCTTTTTGAATTTAGAGTAAACGAGACATCCAGAAATAATATTTTTATTGGACTTGCTCTGTGAGTTTCTCCAGAATGTGTTTTATTTCAATGATTCTTTTATATATATGTATGTGTGTATACAATTTCTTCTTCCCTCAGCTAAATTCTTTCTTTCAATAATCCTGTTACTTTTCTTTGTATTTCCTGTTTTTAATGCTGCTTGTATTTTGGAAGGTTTTAAAACATGGGACAGTAACAACCATGTTCCTAACCCAACTTTGACCATATACAGTGAAATGTACAAATGCTGGAATTCAGTTAACTTATTGGAACATGTAACATAAATGTTTACAAATAAAATTGTGTTGCTAGTCTGGAACATTTGCAGATGTCTTATTTTGACGTTTGAGCATTTGGATGGTAGACGAATTTACATGTACAAGTAGCCCTCAACTTACAAACATTCGTTTAATAACCATTTGAAGTTACAATGGCACTGAAAAAAGCGACATGACCATTTTTCGCATTATGACCATTGCAGCATCCTCACGGTCATGGGATCAAAATAAGGATGCTTGACAACTGGCATGTATTTATGACAGTTGCATAATGATCACCTATTGCGACCTGAAACAAAGTCAATGGGGAAGCCAGATTCACTTAACAACTGCAGTGATTCCCTTAACAAATGTGAAAAAAAGGTTGTAAAAGGGGACAAAACTGAATTTTTGTCTTGCTTACCAACAGAAAATTTGGGATCAATTGTCGTAAGTCAAGGACTAAGCTGTATGTCTAGGTCAATGATGATGAACCTTTTAGAGACTGAGTGCCCAAACTGCAACCCAAAACCCACTTATACATCGTTGAGTGCCAGGTGGGTGTAGCCCATTGGGTGGGTGTGGCCCATTGGGTGGGTATGGCCCATTGGGTGGGCATGGCTGTGGTGGTAACAGCAGACTGGGTGGGACTAAAAAGTTCAATCAATCAATTCCAACTTTGCAAGATCTTTTTTTTTCCCGCGAGAAGGTGAAATTGACTGATTGAACCTTTTTTTTTTTTTTGCACACGGTGGTGGAGGCCTAAAGTGAAAAGGTTTTATAAAACCCAGCTGAAGGCCTAGGACTGGGGCAAGGGCAAGTGTGCCCACAGAGAGGGCTCTGAGTGCTGCCTCTGGCACCCGTGCCATAGGTTCGCCACTACTGGTCTAGGTCTTTTGGTTGTATTACTAAACGGCTAATCAAATGCTTCCCAGAGATAGGGTTTTTTTCCACTTATTTATGGGATGGAATCTCAAGCTTAAAAATAAGGAACTTCTTACTACGTTATTTTAGCAGCTAAAATAATAAATTGCCTAACATGGGAAAGCTTTAGATAATTTAATAACTGAGATGTAGATGGACATGGCCTCCTCAGCTGCCACCTTGAAAAAGATTCTCTAGTTAAAATGGAGAAACGCCAGAGGCAGGAACCACAAACCACCAAATGTGGGCAGACTTTATATTTTATCTCATTTGCAACCCTTTAGATATACTGTAAACATGAATGTGTGTATTATTTGTGTGTCTTACCTTTTTAGCAGATTTTATTTTTTCTCTGGAATATGGATTTCTGTTATTAATCAGCAGTCTAATAAAAGAAATAAACTGGAGATGCAGTTTCTTTGGTTGTGAAGATATAAATTGACCACTAAAAAATAGTATTAATGGTAGAACAGTGTAATGTGTACAGGTAAAGGAGTAGTCCTGTTGAATTTGGCTAAGTGTCTAGCTCAACCTTGTGTCATGGTTCCGATAGATGAGACGAATTTCGCCGCAGCCATTTTCGCTTCGTTTTTGGTTGCCACCTTGCAGCTTTCAGATGTGTGAACTTCAATTCCCAGAAGTCCCTAGCCAGCAAAGGGATGATGATGATGAGGAGGAGGAGAAGTAGTAGTAGTAGTAGTAGTAGTAGTAGTAGTTGGAAGGGATCTTGGAGGTCATATAATCTAACCCCCTGCTCAGGCAGGAAACCTTATACCATTTCAGACAAATGGCTGTCCAGTCTCTTAAAAGCTTCCAGTGTTGGAGCATTCAAAACTTCTGGAGGCAGGTTGTTCCATTGGTTAATTGTTCTAACTGTCAGGAAGTTTCTCCTTAGTTCTAGGTTGCTTCTCTCCTTGATTAGTTTTCATCCGTTGCTTCTTGTCCTGCCTTCAGGCGCTTTGGAGAATAGCTTGACTCCCTCTTCTTTGTGGCAGCCCCTGAGATATTGGAACATTGCTATCATGCCCCCCGTCGTCCTTCTCTTTGTTAAACTAGACATACCCAATTCCAGCAACCGTTCCTTATATGTTTTAGCTTCCAGTCCCCTAATCATCTTTGTTGCTCTTCTCTGTACTCTTTCTAGAGTCTCAACATCTTTTTTACATCGTGGTGACCAAAACTTGATGCAGTATTCCAAGTGTGGCCTTACCAAGGCATTGTAAAGTGGTATTAATACTTCACATGACCTTGATTCTATCCCTCTGTCAATGCAGCCTAGCACTGTGTTGGCTTTTTTGGCAGCTGCAGCACACTGCTGGCTCATATTTAAGTGATTGTCCACTAGGACTCTGAGATCCCTCTCATAGTTACTACTGTTGAGCCAGGTACCATCTATACTATACCTGTACATTTGGTTTTTCTTGCCTAAATGTAGAACCTTACTTTTTTCACCATTGAATTTCATTTTGTTAGATAGTGCCCAGTGTTCAAGTCTGTCAAGATCCTTCTGTATCTTAAGCCTATCTTCTGGAATGTTGGCTAATCCTGCCAGCTTGGTGTCATCTGCAAATTTGATGAGTTCCCCATCTATCCCCTCGTCCAAATCGTTGATGAAGATGTTGAAGAGCACTGGGCCCAGAACAGAGCTCTGGGGCACCCCACTACACACTTCCCTCCTTGTAGATGCAGTTCCATTGAGGACCACACGCTTAGCTGGGGAATGCTGGGAATTGAAGTCCACACATCTCAGATTGAGAAACACTGATCTAGTTACTACACTGTGCATATTATTCATACTACCATATGAACATGTTATACAATAAGCATGTTATGCAATGCCAGCCAGTTTTTTACAGGATCAATTTGAATTTTTAATCACACTATTTGACAGATTTCCAGGGCATTTACAAATAAATAAGGAAAGATCTGGCAACTCAGAAGCTACCCAGACTTGCATGATATATGATGAGTGGCTATATATTAAGTTAAATAAATAATCCAGATTTATTTGATATGGACAGGAGCATGCAATAAACAAATCTTTGGATCTCCTAATCCTTCCAAATATTTTCTGTGTCTCTGCTTGGGATTTTATTTTGTTTTTGGGTGGTTTTTTTTTTTATGAAATACAGTTTCTGAATCAGCAAGATGTCTGTAATATTTGCCTATCAACCTCTGTCCTTCCATTCAACCATTTGTATTCCATACTTCCCTGAGTAGGTTCTTTTTTTTTTCTTTTTGTGACACATAAGAAGACAACTGCGCTGAAATATTTGATTTAGCGATCAAAATATTTGATTTGCTATTGAAAAGATAGGAACCAGAGTGACTGGGATGAGGTAGATTTGTTCTCCACTGTGTCTCTTGCTTTCTCTCATTTCATTCCCTCTGCATCTCAGTTGCTTTTTTTTCCACTCAACATTTCTTTCTGGTGAGTTCATCGGGATTTTTCCTAAATATCTTGAAACTTCAGAGTTTCTGGAATCTGCTGATGATCTCTTAACATGGAACTTGGCTGTTCAGCTTGGGGATGTGAGAACTTGAGTTAAATATAGATTTTTTTCCCCTGAACTCACAGCATGACGCTATTAGGTAAAGCCAGACTGCTATCCCTGACCTAGTTTTTGAGGTGCATAATTTTAATTATCCCAAAGGTGTTTTTTTCATGAGGCAACTGAATTGTCTTGTTTTTCTTTGAAGACATTTCGCTTCTCATCCAAGAAGCTTCTTCAGCTCTGACTGGATGGTGATTTGAAAGAGAGGGGTCAAAGAGGCTATCTATGTCAAAATTGAATAGACCCCTCTCTCAACAGAGGGGGAGTGATGCGACATCATCTATCTCCAGTCTATAGTCCTTTCAGCAGTTCCAAGAAGGCTTCACACCCATTTGCACTACTCAGGTGACCTTGAAGACACAGATGAACCTCCAAGTGGCCTCAATGATTCTCTAAAAACATGCAAATGACCAGCCGTCTGCAAGGAGTATAAACCCTTTCATTCCCCACCATCCAGTCAGAGCTGAAGAAGCTTCTTGGATGAGAAGCGAAACATCTTCAAAGAAAAACAAAGAAGTCTAGTTGCCTCTTGAAAAAGCAGCTTTGGGACAACCATGACCTGGATGATTGAGAATCTTCATAAACATAATTTTAATTACTTTTAGGCTTGTAAAACACACAAGGCCAAAATACCTGTAACTCAGTTTAAGTTCTTGGTCAGACCTTGTGAGTTAAACAGAGTGTGGAGGTGAACTAGTTAAGAGCAGTGCCAGAATGCTGGAGAAGGAGAATTTAGTCACCTGATTTAAGTTTCCCTCTTCCCCACTTAAACTAACCCTTTAATTACAAGGTAGTCCTTGAGTTACGACTACAGTTGGGACCAGCAATTCCATTGCTAAGCAGAATGCTTGTTGAGTGAGTCACACCTGATTTTACAATCTTTTTTGCCACAGTTGTTAAGTGAATCGCTCAGCCATTAAGCGAATCCAGCTTTCCCCCGCCCCATTGACTTGGCTAGTTGGAAGCCAGAAAGTTGCAAATGGTGATCACGTGACCCCGGGAAGTTGCAACTTTTATAAATGAATTCCAGTTGCCAAGCCTTAGAATTTTGATCAGGTGACGGTGGGAATGTTGTGTTGGTCATAAGTGCGAGGATTGGTCGTAAGTCACTTTTTTCGATGCCATTGTAACTTTGAACAGTCGCTAAACAAGTGGTTGTAGGAGAGGGAAATCCAGTCTGTTTTACCTTGTATTATGTATGCTTTGCATTTGCCTTAAGCAGCAGCGATGAGGATCCTACTCAGGCATATTGAAGGGGTTATGAAAATTTGGACTTAGTTACTAGGATAGCAACAGTTAAATCAGCTAAATGCAGCTTTTTCTGGGCTCGATCTGACTCATCCTAGTGAAACACAATACTCTGGGTTATGTGCATAGAAGGAACTGTCTGCTACTTATTTGGTGTGCTAAACATCCGATAACAAAGATTTTAAAGCTTATTAAGACTAGAAACACCTCCCAAACTCCACAAACAAAGGCCTACAACAATCTTCCCACAATTCCTAACTTTTCTGTGTTGGCTGGCAGTTATAGGTAGTCCTCAACGTTCAACTATTTCTTTAGTGATCATTTGAAGTTACAAT